CTTATGTATTGCCTTTACATAGAATTATCAATATTTCTTTTTATTACAATATAATAATTTGCATTTTTGTCAGCAACAGGAGATTCCCAAAATTTTGAAAACATTTTTAGTATTGGTTGGGTATTTATTTCAATGGTTCATGTACATTAAGATGTATTTATACTTAATATGAATGTAATATGTGGTGCTGGACAATAAGCACATTAAATTACGCAATCAGCAAAAGGAATGCAGCAAGCATTGGTGAATTTATTACAGGAATTAAAATTAAATCTGTACCAAAACATATCACTGACACAGTGGAACTTGTGACAATAGAATTCGCTGGTGTTAAATTTAAAACAAAAAAATGTAAAAACAGTAATATGTGTTGCTGGACAATAGGCACATTAAATTACGCAATCAATCAATCTTTTCATTTTGACTTAAAACAATTTTGACCTTTTTATTTAAAGGAAAATATGGCCTAATTACTGTTAATTTTTTTATGCCATATATATATGTATATATATCTTTATGAGATTATGAATAATAATTCAATTACATTGTTTGTTCCTGTTGCAGTACATATTTTAATATCTAGTTATAATTTACATGTACATATGATATAAAAATATGTCAATCAAACACATGAAAGTGGTTGTTTTTTTCTCTGTTATATGACTTTTATATTCTTCTTCAGCTTCACACAAATAAACCTTTCTTTATATAAACTAAACACATAATCAATTAAATAGACACAATTAAGGATCAGTGCTGTGTATTTACTGTGTATTTACTACTAATTAATTTATCCAACAGTTATCACTTCAGAATCAGGTTAACAAAACATGTGGTTTCTGTCAACTTACAAATTTTAATCGAAATGACAGTTTAATTTGTATTTATGGTATTTCCTAAGTGATGCAGATAATAAGCCCAACATCATTTTGATGTGTTTTCTCGGGCATAGATGGTAGACTTGGTGCTTTTGATTTGATATGTTTAATTTTGGAACAACAGTAGTGAGCAAGCTCATTCTTATTTGCCTTTATTGACAAAATATCATTGAATTTCTCAAACTAGAAACACGACAAAGTTATTACTTAAAGAAGGAATCCGATACAGATGTTATTGCAAATAATTCCGTATATCGTGGTTCAAAGGTGAAAGAAAATAATGTATGAAAGAAGATATTAAACATTAAATCACTTTTTAAATAGATTATTTATTTTTTACAAATGTCATATGAAATGAATTTGAATCGTCTCTATTGCAGTACATGTTAATCTATTGACGATCAAGGATTAAAATTTTAATCCTTATGCCTCTGGCAGTACATGTTAATTAATTGAAGATAAAGGATAACAAGGAGTTCTGATATTCTAATTACTAATAACGGTGTCTAATCAGCATATGTTTGTCATATTATGACGTGTGAATAAAAATCCATGTTGTGTTTTTTTTTACAATTTCAGAAAATTGACAATTAAGTAAAAATTATATAGTGTTGTTGTCAAATTATACCAGGTATTTATTTTCAGATTTGGAGGTGTATAGAATTGTAGGAAACATACGGAAGATATAACATAAAATATTTCCCCAAACAATTAACATTACGTCATTGTCGTACCAGTACGCGATTTTGGAGTTTCAATTTTTAGTGTTTGCTTTATTTTCGCGTGTTTAATTTTGGCACTTTCATTGGAGGCACCAAATAAACCAAAATAAAACTACAACCAAAATAACCCAATTTACGGTATCATTTATAAACAAACGTGAAATGTAGACAGTATAAATTCCTTCTGAGAGAAAAATTTTTAATACACCAAATCATTTACCAAAGTTAAATTTTCAAATGGAAACGCATGGACAATATAAAATAAATAAATACAAATCGCTTTATTTTCTCACTTACTTGCCATTGCTTCAAGATTCTGTGTTGATTCCTCATCAAGGTCACGATCGGTACACTTCGGCAACAAATTTTTAAAGTTATTAGCAGCCCAAATTTTGATATTTTTCCTCTCACGAAAGTGAAATTTTAATATCATAATTCTCGACAAGCTTCGCATCCCACTTTTAAAAATTGTCAATGTCTCTATAGGAGAAGCATCACACAACACTTGATGTAGTGATAGAATGTTAATTTCTCCTATTTGTTTGACTATCAAGAATTCAAAACTGATTACATATTCATCTTTTGCTTTCGAATGTTTTTTTCGAGCATTCCTAATGAAGGTTTATCACGAAAAGCGACACATAAAAGATATAGAGTGTTATTTTATTTTTGAATGATTTTCCTCTTTTGTGTTGAGATTAACGTTAACTGTACATTTTTGAGTTAATCCGGTCAACTTGTCATACCCTGTTACTTTCTATATCAACTGCAAAATGTGCAGCTTTAGTAAACATGTTAAGAAAGATATTATATTTTCATACATAATTAAGTATATTAGAATGGTTAACGCTTCTTTTAAAAGTCATAAGAAAAGATTTTCAAGTTATTATATCGTTAAGAAATTATTGCAGCAATGCCTGCCTATATACTGAGTACTAAACTATATATATGATACAGAACATCTGTGAAATCTGACGGTAATTGGTCTGTAACTCGATCACAATCATACTTTGTCCGAGTGATTAATAGAAATAAATAGTGATAATAATTCATTTCACAACCTAAACTGCAAATTAGTGGCTATAAGAAGAACTAGAGCTAAAATCAAGAACAAAAATCGTGTTTTTATACATTTGTTTTCAACAAAATTGTCACTCACCGTCATTTAATAGATTAATAAAAAGTAATATAAAAGAAACGTATGGACAATAAAAAAAAACACAACTAAAATGGATTTAATATACTTATTTGTCACATGCTACATGATTTTGCGCTGATTACATATCGAGGTCACGATCGGGACACATGTAATAGAGTACTATTTTATTATTTATGAATGTTTCTCCTTTTTTTGGAAGGAGAAGCGCACAGTTCGTTCCCAAATATGTTGTCAATAAGAAACTCCAGCATACTGATCACTTGTTCCTCTGTGTAGCATGTTTTACCTTTTAGTTTACTTTTAACAAAATATGACGTATGGTATCCCAAAGTAATAAACTCATAGCGTATGCTACAATTTTTATATTAAATAGCATTATGAATTATTTCTTTTAGACGATTTTTCAATTTGACATGAAGAATGGTGGTATACAGGGTTGAAAAATATGCTTGTGTATGTGTTACATTTCTCCAAGGTGAAATTCGCCGCTTTTTTGTAAAAAAAAGGAGATGTGGTATGATTTTTTTTAATATTGATTTCAATTACTGACTTGTTACAATATCTTTCAGGAGTTCAAGCTCCTCCATATGTTCCCTGTAACATTCAACTAATTACTCAGGGCAGTAATTAGTTGTAAAATTCACATTACATCAAATATATATTCAATAATATCAGTCATTGTTCAAATGTTAAATAAAAAACATTGACATTTTTTGTCTTTTGATCAGATATGTAATACGCTTTGTAAATTGAAAAACTAACAATTGTTAAAAAGTAGCAAAAGCCAAAATATTCTTCGTCAGAAATAAATTTTATACACAAATACTAAATGTTTTAATTTTATCTTAAAAGTTATTTTATTTCTCTTTAAAACTTCATGTGGTATGATTGCCAATGAGACAACTATCCACCAGAGTTCAAATGAAGTGGTTATCAGCAATATTAGGCCACCGTACGTACGGCCTTCAACAATGAGAAAACTCCATACTGTATGAACCAACAACAACCCCTGAACTACAGCTCCTGACTTGGGACAGACACATACATAATCTGGCGGGATTAGACAGGTTTGTGACCACTCAACCCTCTCCTAACCTGTAACAGCACAACATAAGAACAAACTGTAAAAATCAGTTGCAATTGGCTTAACTCAAAAGAACGGTAAGAAGCACAAAAAACTAACATAAAAACACCGATATAAGAGTACCCGCTGTTACTAAATGCTAGTTCAAAGCCAATTTCAACTCATAAATAAATCATGTTCTCCCAGACGAAAGCCATTTGTGGAAATAGATGTTATTCCATGTGTTGGAATTTAACTTATAACAAAATATCGTAACCATGAGTACCAATTGAACTCGAGGCTCATTTTCCGTTGTCCATCTGTGGTCAAATCCAACCGTTCGTTAAACCATTTGGGTGATTAAGATTTAACATAGCTCTAGACCGCGGTTAAAATTTTGACCAAGGGAAATTGCGGTCTTAAAGTATGATTCCCGTGATTTTAACTGTCTCTAGAGGAGAACTATCGTTCTACATTTAATGCGGTGATAGAATCCTTATTTCTCCTTTTTTTGTTTAAGTTTCCCTTTTTAAGGGTGAGATTAATGTAAACTGTACATTTTCGAGATAATCAGGTAAGATATTACATTTTCATATATAATCAAGTATGTTTGAATGGTCAACGCTCCTTTTAAAAGTCACATAAAGCGAGTTTCTAGTAATTATATAGTTCATTAAATCAAGGCATGCATCATATGTACTTGATTAGGTGCAAATTTATATTTATTACGATACAATAGCATATAATCGAGAACAAAATTTCGTCTGATGAATTTTGATCGAAAACTTTGGATTCTTAATAACTTTCGTGGTCGGTTGCCGAAGTTTACCGATCATGAAATTGATAAAAAAAATCAACACAGAATTATGAAGCACGTGAAAAGTAATTGAAATGGTAGATGATGTTATTTGTCTTTTTTTATATTTTCCCTTTCTTCCCATTTGTTAATTACAATTTGTTATAACAGTTGTTAAATGATTTTCCCGTCAGAATCAGTAAATACTGCCTTTTTTCCAGGTTTGTTTAATTGTCTTTCATCAAGTGTTTTCTTTCGCACTTGGGCTGTGTGGTTGTAAGAGCAAGAGAAATAGCAGAACATTTCTGAAGATTCGGTAAGATAAAGATTTTTCTTTTAGAAGAAAGTCTATGTGTTCTATAATCATACCCATTCAAGTATATAAAACATATTCATCTTTTTTTATTCAATTTGAAGGATCATATGACTATAAAACTATGTGATATCTGTCACGTACCCGTTATAGTTGTACTAAATAATAAGTATATATATCGACAAAAACATGTTTATAGCATCTGATAAAGTGTAATTAATTCTTACCTTTGAAACAAATGAACATTCAGATAAAATTCAAAATTGTGTTACATAATATAAAATAACGTTGAACTACAGAATTTCAATCCTTGATTTCTTTAGATTTAACTTGGTGTTATATTTAACAAAGAACTGTATTTAAAAAATATTAAAAACTCGGGTCAAAAGTTGAACAGACAAGAATCACATTGTACTACTTCAATTTTCCATATAAGAATACATAGATGTGATATGCTTGCCGTTCATACAATTATCCGTAACATAAAGATCCATTTATAGACAAAGATGTGATCAATTACAGGTCACAGCACGACTTTCAACTATGAGAAAAATCCAAACCCTATAGTAAGCTTTAAAAGATCAGGGGATCACAAAATATTTGAAATACATTTTATTCATAAGGATATGAAAAGTATTGAGCAAAAGGCACAGCCTATGAAAGCTCTACAAGTACGTGCTTACAGTGTTAAGTACAAAATGTATGTTATATTCATGTGTGTAGGCAATACATCATCAGTTACTCAGGTACCCGAGACATGTAAATATCAAACCCATGTATATGTTATTAGAAATATATAAGCAATAAGGTTTGGAAGAGTGTTTAAGCATACTTTTGGAATACATGAAATAACTTTTAAGAAAAAAAAGAGAGACAAAAGTTGCGCACCAAAAAGTCTTTTTTAAACAAAGCGATAAGTCGCACTGATAAACTTCTGAACAGATTGCAAAATAACAAAGTTAATAATCATAGGAAAATAATCTATTTCAAAATAGTATTAAGTCAACATTTATGCCAACATTGTTATCAACGATTGAATGAATGTAGTCAAGTAATTATGTCTTAAATCATTGTACTTGGGTCAAATAAAAAAGAAAAGTTTGTTTTCCTAAATAGGATTACAAAATTTGAAAATATTCAAAAGAGAAAACAAACGGCCTTATTGAACAAAAGCAATAATGGTAGACAGTAACCGACAACAACATATTGATCACAGGCTCCTTCCTCTTGATGGGCACAAAAAGAAAGCTGTGGGATTAAACATGTATGTGAGTGCATTAACTTTTCGAAATACTCATACTCTAAACAAAGGCGTTTAAAAAAGTAAGAAAAAAGAGGAAACAAAATATTTTGTATCACAAGTTTTCACATGTTGCTTTGTAATGTCGCCAATTACAGGTTTTCGGTCAATTTCTTTATTACAAATCCAATCCCTAGATTGACCAATTTGAAATAAAGATTAAGTTCTTGTTAGTTTGAATGAAATAAAAATGATATTAGTTTTTCAAAATTTGTTCTTCCATTTTGTCGTAAGATGGATTCTCTATTCCTGAGTCAAAATTGGAATCTAAACCTGGTTCGTCTCGGTTATTTTTATCTGGAAAAGTTATTCTATAAAAGGTATCAACTTGACTGTCCTCTATTAATCGATTGTGTGGAATAAATGGGGAACGCCATCTGAAATTAAAAGAAAGCTTTAAACAGTATAAGGGGCATCTATAAAAAAAACACGTATGACATAGTTAGTTTGAAATATCTTTCAAAATAACTATTACTGATTTAAATAATTAATGTTATCTATCTATTCTAATTCCTATGTATTCCAGTTTCTCAGTTAGCAGCAAGTGTTTTCTATAAAAGTTCGCCAATGGTCTTAGCAAATGTAAAAGATAATTTTGACCAGATAACACGGTGCATCAAATATCCCACATATTGGTCTGTTGATATCTGGAATTACTTTATGTACCTGAACATCAATATACTTATACTTTTTACCGTATGTTTTATATATGTATATACGATGTGTTACCTGAGCATCAGTATACCTACTACCGTATATTTTATATTTGTATATACGATATGTTACCTGAACATCAGTTACTTACTACTGTATGCTTTATATTTGAGTATACGTTATGTTACCTGAACATGAGTATACTTGCTACTCTATATCTTATACTTGAATTACGATGTGTTACCTGAACATCAGTAAACCTACTACCATATGTTTTATATTTGAACTTACGATATGTTATCTGAATATCAGTATGCTTACTACTGTATGTTTTATATTTGAATATACGATATGTTATCTAAACATCAGTATACTTACTACCTTATATTTTGTACCTGACTTACGATATGTTACCTGAACATCAGTATACGTACTACCGTATGTTTTATATTTGAATACAAGATGTGTTTCCTGAACATCAGTATACCTAGTACCTTATGTTTTATACCAGACATACAATGTGTTACCTGAACATCAGTATACTACCTTTTGTGTTATATAAAAAAAGGCTGAAGATACCAAGGTGACATTCAAACCTGAAAATTCGTATAAAACAAAGTGGACAACGCCATAACAATAGACAAAAATGACGAAAATATGAAAAAATCTAAAACAACACTTCATTTGCAGAAAGATTGAGCAACACGAATTCTACCAAACACCGGGTGTGAACCAGAATGCTCCGGAGGTGTAAGCAATTCCTACTTCACATGTGGCACCCGTCGTGTTTCTCATTTATGTAAAAATTCGGTGATAAGTCACATTCGGTGATGTCACAATCGAGGCGAAGAAGACGGATCACGCTACCGACAATTGGAACATATCCGTGGTCATCTGCAATGGGGTCTATAAAACTTCCGAAGGAATTAATTCAATTTCATCATTTGGAACCCTAGGTTCCATAACTTCCTTGTAAGAAGCAACCTTCATCAAGAAAATCATGGTAGGCACCGTGATAAGGAATATATATCAACTGGGAGATATTTACACCATAAGCAGGCACTGCTGGAAAGTTGCTAGAAATGGAAAGTTTATAATTGGGAAGCTAAAATCATCCATATATGTGAACTTTGGATTTGTAACCTGAACATCACTATACTTCTTACGTTTTATACAAAGACTTAAGACGTTACCTGATCATCAGTATACTAACTACGTTATGTTTTATGCCTAGGCTTACGATGTGTTACCAGAAGATCTGTATACTACCTGTGTTTTATCCATTACTTACGTTTTGTTACCTGAACTCCAGAAAACAACCTTATGTTTCATACCTGAACTTACGATGTGATACCTGAACATCAGTAAAGTTACTACCTCATGTTTCAGACATGGACTTACGATATGTTACCTGAACATCAGTATACTACCTTATGTTTTATATTCTGAATGATATAAAACCTTCACCTCAGTATTCTACTTTGAATTTGATACGTAGACTTATCATAGTGTACCTGAACATCATTATACTACATTATATTTTATACCTGGACTTACAATCTTAACTGAACATTAGTATTATATTATATTAATGAGCCGTTTTTAGTTCAAACATATCGATGCATATAAACCATAACACTTATAATGAATCATTTCAAAAGTCATTTACAAGTACACTCCCATAAAATATCGTATAAAGTATAAATTTGTTTATCTAATCTGTGAACAATATACCTTTAGGCAAAATGCAATAAAAATGCAAAAAAAAAAACCCAAACAACATTTAAAACTAACTAAGGTTCAAGACACTCATACCCCAAATAAAATAGACATGAATCTATTTGCCCTATAAGACTTTACACTTCCTTAACTAGATGCACTCGTCGTGAGGACTCGTGACAAGTACAAATGCAGTGTAAAGTTGTTTACGTTGAAAGTTATAAATAAGGAAGGTAGGATGGAATAAATAAACTCTTACTAAATCTTATTCCTTCGAGTCGTTCAAGTACATGAAACTTGGCCATTTTTTCCTAATTACATCCTTAATAAGACAGAAAGTTCTATGGAACATTTTTTTTTTAATTAAGTTAACAATTTTCCCCGAAATTAATTTTGTATAGTTCTTCATTATCGAGCTTTCAAATATTTTGCTCTTATGTTTTATGTCGGAAGATTTCATAACGCTAATTAAAAAATTCGATCTACACTTTCACTTGATGATATGTTATATAAGGAAACAAAGGAATATCTTTAATAAGTTACGTTGAAGATGTTGTTCAATCGATTACAATTTCCCTTTATACTTGCTTCGTTGTATGTTGACTGTAATAATAACATTTAACGGTACTTATGTTACTGCACTATTGAGCATTGCGACAGATAATGCCTCTTCTGTTTATTGTTATAGAATGAATTTCATAACAGCGTGGACATGGACACATGGTAATTAAATGCTGTCGACAACAAAGACTTCATGCAATTATAGTATGTCAGGGGCCTCTCAGTGAGGATATACATAATTACTATCTTTACACATGTCCATTCAAAAAAGTTTTTGCATGAAAGTTTATAGGAATTTGTTTTGAATATATCTATACACTCACAGCAAAAAGGTTCTTTTGATAGAATGAGTATATTCAGAGGTGATATCACCAAGTAATCGAGAAAAAAAACGTTATGTTTTTTCTTGCACAAACGTTCTGTGGCTCCTTAAAAAATAAGAAAACATTTATTCGTACGAGTTGATGTAGAGTAACCTACGATCAACTTTCATACTAAGATTATTTTTGTTGGTAATAAGAACCCCGGACTTTCATAATAATCATTTTAGTCCTCTGGGCTGCATATATTTTGGCACGGAACAAATTTGAATTCCCATAGAAGACTCCAACGATCAGATTTTCGTGAACATTTAAATATAATTCATTCTAACAAAAAATAACTCGTGAAAATATCAAGAAGCATTTGAATCCGGTCTTGTGCGCAAAATGTGGAAACATAGATATTTATTTAAGATTTTGTTATACCTGAACACGTATAACAAAAGTTACGGGATCTATATTATTTTACTACAAATCAAGCAGGTAATTCTAATGAATTTGGTCTTACTCAACTATTGTATTTGTTATTTGAGGACGCATATTTGAGACAATTCTGGATAAACGTTTATTTGCAAATTTTATTCATGCTGATTTCAAAAGCCTCTTGCATAGCCAACCCTCCCTAATTTCAAGTGAATCAGGAATGGTCGCCCATTCAAAAAAAATAAGTACAATTCTAAATTAAATTGCTGTGATCCGTCCATTCGTTTTTCAGATCAACAGAACAGCTGCAATTAACAGGTCGGGCACATTTCCTTATACGGACATGTATTATTTAGCATAATTATGCCCCCGGCAATGCATGTGTTAGTGTTAACAAATAATTAGAACATACTCACCCATTCTTGTCCAATGGAAAATCAGTATTTTCCCTTCTATTTTTCATAATACATTGCTTACCATGCACTATATAATGCTATACATGAATGACTTTTCATTGTAAATTGATTATTCGAGTGAACTCTTAAAAACTGCACTAACGAAGTGTACAATCCCCCAAGGCAATTTCCAAAGGAAAAGATCAAAAGAAAAAAAATCATGAGTACTGTTATTTGTCTAATCATTATAAATGAATTAAGGAAAATAGAACTATAAAAGCATTTTAAGTTGAGATTTTAACATTGTAAATGTTATTTAATGGAACAAATATAGAACCGCCCTAAAAAAAGAATTGAAAAGGGGACAAGGGTGCGGGTAAAATACATGTAGAATTTATTCTAATTTGTATATGAGACCTTCAACTCAATGTTTTAAGAAACAATGAAAGTTTTTGAAAAAAAAACCCAATATATTCATCAATGAAAAAAGCAAGCATCTGATGTTGAAACGATTGTTAATTAAAATTCATTGATGATGATTTATATAAAATTGTGTGCTTTTTAAAATGAAAAAATCCCAGATATCTAAAGTAAATTGTACCTGTAGCAGTAGGAACCTCCGTGTTTGGAATAATTTATCCTTTTTTTATTATCACAAAACTATCTCATTGCTCTTTCATTCCATTTGTTGAAATGACCACAAAATTATTTACATCCCTTTTACTAACCATGTTACCATTCAAAGTGAGCTAATATCAAAGTTTGATTATTACAATGAGCAACGAGAGGCTAATTTTGTTATGTCACTCGATGGTGTGAATATGTTCTAAATTGGTCAGACAATACTTGGTCATGTTTTATGAACATTTAAAACATAACCAAGTATTATCTAACCTATAAAGCATTTTTTTTTATTTTGGCGATTGACCAATCCACAGAATGATTTGCAATGCATGATGGACTACTTATCTTTAACTGGCACCCTACTTAATTTTTCACTTATTGCCAGAAAAGAATTTTTCTTACTTTTTTTTCTCTCGATTACTTGATGATATCACCTCTGAATATACTCATTCTTTCAAAAGAAACTTTTTGCTGTGAGCATATAAATATATTCAAAACAAATTTCTATAAACTTTCATGCAAAAAATTTTTTGAATGGACATGTGTAAAATAGTAATTATGTACATCCCCTATTGAGAAGCCCCTGACATACTGTAATTGCATGAAGTCCTTGTTGTCGAAAGCCAGTTACCGACACGATATCATTTAAATATCAAGTGTCCGTGTCCACACTGTTATGAAATTCATTCTATATAAAATTAAGAAGATTTGTTATGATGACCAATGAGATAACTCTCCACCATGAACCAAAGGTCATGGAGGTTAACAACTACAGGTCATCCTTCGGCCTTCAATAATGAGCAAAACTCATACTGCATAGTGAGCTATAAAAGACCCCGAAATCAAAAATGTAAAACAACAGAAACGAGAAAAACTGACGGCCTGATTGATGTATAAAACAAAGAACGAAAAACAAATATGATATACAGCAACAAACGACAACCACTGAATTACAGGCTCCCGACTTGGGACAGGCACATACAGAATATGGCGGGGCCAAACTAATTTGCTGGCGACAAATCCTCCCCCTTACCTTAGACAGTGGTGTAACAGCACAAAATATGTACATAACAGTAATTTTTAGTTTGATTTTAATTTACGGATAAAAATATCAATATTTACACCAATAAAACAATATTTAAGGATCTAATATCAGTGTTGAATTGGTAACCTTCTAGAATAAGTTTAGCGTATGTTGTAACCTGTTATTACGTAAACTTTTCCCTTGAAGTTGACCATATGCTATTTTGAATAAAAGGACATGCTGAGTACACGTCAATGAGACAGCAACTCAACTATACAAAAACCAAAACAAATCTCGAAGTTTAAATTCAAATAGCTGTTTTGTTTAAGTCCATTTGGTTTTGATGTTAACAAAGTTTTCATGTTTTGGGCTTCCCATGATTTCTGATGAAGGTTACTCACACAAACACAAACTGCAAACACTTAAATATGTTTTAATAAGTTGATACATACCTTCTATATGCATATATTCCAGCAACGGATCCACATGCAGCAAGTACTAGACAGGCACAAACAACGGCTACAATTCCCGCTACTGGAAGACCAGAATGATCTATATCTATAAAATATATGGAAAACATTTATTCAAACTTCATAGTTCGCACATAAAAAAAAACTGTGCAAAAGGAACAAAAAAAAAAGCTTTCCCGTGTCTTACAAAAAATAGATCATAAACCTTTTCATAGTTAGGATGTAAAATGTTGACTGCAGTTTTTATTCGCAAAACACAAAGTTGCAAATTAGATGTAGGGCTTGCTTACATGTGTTTTATTGCAAATGTTTCAATCATTAAATATATAGTGATAGAAAATGAATATTGATGGAGTTTCTTACATGCATAATTTTTGACGACTTCGGAAACAAATAGTGATGTATTTTCAAAAATTAGGTTTTGATTTTACTTAAAAGTAACAACAACTGAATGATCTGTTTTCGAATTATATCTAAGTATAAGACACAACTTGCTTTACTTAGGAAATACATATCGATAATGGATAGTGTTAAAACAAATGCATTCAAAGGTATGTATCAATAGATTTTGTTGTAACCTATATAAAGAGTACACCAGTCATAAATGTCAACAAAGCTTTAACAATGAAGCGTATCCCATACATCAAAGAATCTGCAACCAATAAAAAACAATTAATATCGTTACACCTGTGTAATATGAATAAAATAAATCAGATGCTCAATTTACTAGTAATTGAACCTAAACAAATCGTATTTCAAAAGAAGTAACGTTGATCTGATTACTAACTCAACTTTACGTGTCCCTCTTTTTGACGGATTGAGTGTAACCTGTGTGGATTGGTATATGTCGGTAAAACAAAAGGAAGGTTAAACAAAACAAGTATGCGACCATAGATCAGATATTTAAACAATGCAAAAGTCAGTGAATATCAACATTTTGATCATTTAATTCTTTTTATGCTATTTCGCATCATCGAAAAAGACTACACCGAAGGACTAACAATATTCATTCTGGAACACCTCTCCGGAGACAAGGGAAACATACTAGATTCGAGAACTTGGAACTGCGACACCCGAGGTCAATGGCAAAATTGATGGTATATGTATTATTTCTGGCCCTCTTACATCTTGGTGAATGTGATAAATATGTTCAACTCTGCCCCTCGACGTAGACACAGTCATGGTCATCGTCGTTATACATCATCTACTTACACTTCTGACGTCTATATTAATGACCTGTTGTCATTTATACCGAAACAGTAAGGTACACCACATCCGCATATAGGTATATCCGCTACCCCCTTCGAAACCTTATTCTCTTATACTAGTATATGCAAATTACAAAACCAAAACAAACTTAATACTATCATCTTTGATATACCCGCTAAGGACTTTTGAGACCAGTTGGCGTTGGCACGGATAAAACTTTGCATTGCCAAAAAAGGTCTCAAAATCTTCAATTTATGCAATATCCTTCTTTATAAATCAGTTCAATCGAAAATACCTTCCTACTTTAAATATCAGTTTGTTCATTATATCGCTTATCCTTTTACTACACCTATTGCAAGCATGTGTTGCATGATAATTAACGGCTTCAAGCATTAACTCCTGATTGCACCTGTGCTAGTTCCCCATTCATATATATCTATATATTCTGGCTGGTGACCTTAACATTGTCAACAACACTTCTCTGTGATATGTATTAACCAAAATGGCATAAATACTGCAAGTTTAAATCCATAATTTTAAATACTTATGGATTTAGTTGAGGATAATGCCAAAAACGTAAAATCTCTTTTCGAATGGGTTACGGATAATGAGATAGTTCATGCAAATAAATTTAACAATTAAAAACCTTAAAAGGTTCATGAACACTAATGCTACAGCTGTCTTCAAAGATCTTAATGTTGCTAAACACATGCCGTTGCTCAATCCCATATATATTGCTGCCCCTTGAAATAATGCTCCCAACAAATCGTTTATGTTTGTAAATTATATGAATGCTTGATAAAAGGATAAGATATTGACTATTTGCTTGTAAACTCAACAAATACTCCCGTGACACTTACTAGCGGAATTCTTGAACAAGTCTAGGTATGTTCATTGTTCCTTTGGAATTTCAACCAAAAATCTTCCTTCCCCGTGACTTGATACTTAAATTACATATGTGCCCTTAAAACATTGCTTGGTCTTTCGAGGCGGTGTGAATCAGATATGGATACTAAAAATTCTAACGATTCGTCAGAGTATATACAATCTCTCTGTCATCTTGCAACAGTATAAAATATTGGATGTCTTTACCTTTTACACTGGTATTCCTCATTGTAAACTTAAAAACATAATGTATAGAATTTGTCCAGTTTTGTTACATAGAAAAGAATGGCCAACGTAGATACAAATACCATGTTTCAGGATAGGATTCAGGATTGGATAATACTTTAAAAAAACGTTCTGATTCAGGATGATTATTGTCTAAACTGACACCATTAAGTCACAAAGCAGTGCTATCTGAACGATGTGGTTTATGTTGTTGTTTGTGTTTGATAGTGTTCTGTTTTCGTAAGAGTCGGTTATAGGTTGTTGTTGTGGTTTGCAGTGCTATCCAATATATTTTGCTAGCTCTGATTAGCTTTTTTGTAATACAAAATCAAGTGACTTATTCCAGTTTTAGTATTTTACACTTGTTCCAAGAACTCTTGGTAATAGATTTATTAACTATTTCATGTCCTTTTCTGTCCGAGGTTCCTTTATAGATTGTAAAAATAACAAAGATTGCATATAACAATGTAAGAAGATGAGATTAAGAATTTCGTATTTATATATTATAAGAAGTGATTAAGGAAATTACTTATTTAAATTGCTTAACGTTCATTTATAAATTTTAAATGCAATGTTTCTTGGTGTCTAGAGGACACAAAACTTTCAAATATTCTTGAATTGTTATTGTTAGCTATTAAGTGCCAATCTGCCTAAGAATTAGGCAGTGGTGAAAACATGACAAACAAAAAACCACTCAAGTTTACATTAATTTAAGTTCAAAATGTATACTTGGGCACGAATATAACATTCGTTTCCTTTTCATGCTCTGGTAATTCCAGATATAATTTGGTTGAAATGCACTCGAAATTACCAAAAAAAGGGAGCTTACTCCGTAATCTGCTAACATTCTAACCAAAAGTTATTTAGAGATTTATCGAATTACCAGACTCGCAGAAACGAAAGGCCTACTATTTCTAACTCAGGACGAGGGTAACTTCAGAATAGGATGGTAAGGTCAGTGGGGTTTTTTTTCGGTCATGTTTTGAATTTCTTCCAAATTCGTTGATCTTACAAAGACTGGCACTTAACATGAAAGTATGTTTATTTTTTATTGATTTTAAAACCAGAACGGCAACATCTGGCAAAATAAAAAAAGCATATGTAGTATGATTGCCAATGAGACAAGTCATTATCAGATACTACAATAATTCATGTTTGTGTCATTTGCCTTGTGAGTTGTTCTACCTAAGAGTTGAGTAAATCTACATATCTCTTAAATTTCAAATACAGTCGGCAATTGGAAAATGAACCATTTCAGTTTTGAACCGCGCACATTGTTTAATGTTTTTATAAAATTAAGGAGATGTGGTATGATTGGTAATGAGACAACTATCCACCAAAAGTTCAAATGTGGATGTAAGCAATTATAGGCAACCGTACGGCCTTCAACATTGAGAAAAACCAATTCCGTAAAATCGGCTATAAAAGACCCCGACATGAAAAATATGAAAGAGAGGCGAAAGATACCAAAGGGACATTCAAACTCATAAGTTGAAAATAAACTGACAACGCCATGGCTAAAAAGGTAAAAGACCAACAGACAAACAATAGTACACAAAACACAACATTGAAAACTAAAGACTGAGCAACACGAACCCCACCAAAAACTGGGGGTGATCTCAGGTGCTCCGGAAGGGTAGGCAGATCCTGCTCTACATGGGGCAACCGTCGTGTTGCTCATGTTCGTACAAACTTAATAAGTCTAAATCGGTATATCACATTTGGGGAAAAGGGGACGGGATTGTAGTTACGATATTTGGAACATATCCACAGACTTAACTGTATCTGTTGTATCTTTTATCTCAAATTCGATGGGATAGATGCGTTCAACATAGTCATAAAATTTTGAATTATTTAGTGAGAGAACACCATATATATAGCGGAAAGTAAAGTCAGAGGATACTGCTAAGTTTTTTTCTTTCTTCTTAGAAGTTCCTGTATGAAGTCACCCTCATATGAATAAAGGAACAAGTCGGCAAGAAGAGTTTTACATTTGATTCCCATGGGAATCCCGATTGTTCGTGAAAAACGCTTTCTTCTAACGTAACAAATATGTTGTTAATCAAGAAATCAAGCATCTTGATAATGTCAGTTTCAGAGAATTTTTTGTTTGAATCAGAGTGATTTTTTACAAAGTAGGATTTATTCCTCCCTAAGACAAGATAATTGTATCTACGTTGACCATTCTTTTTTATGAGTATAGCATGGCCAACTCTTTCAATTTGTCTTTTAGTTTGGAATAGGGAATACTTGGGTAAAGTGTAGAAAAGTCAATTGTTTTAATACTATTGCAAGATGATAGAGTCTTAGATTGTATGTACTCTAAAAGATCTTTGGAATTTGTTTAGTATCCACATCTGATTCACGCCACATCTAGAATAGGTAGTTTCTAGGAATGTCAACGAGTACTCGAGTACTCGAGTATCGCTCGGTAGTACCGAGTATCGAATAACAAAATGATACTCGACTAATCTTTTTTTTTTTGTTAGAATGTTGTTGCCTTCTTACAGAATTGTTTTTATTAAAATTAAATATCAATCAAAATAATGATACGCTTCGAATGTTTGCGTTAAATTGTCATTTAAAACTCCCTCATGCGCTATGAACAAGTGCACCATTCCAAGGCCTGCCCTTTTAGCTTATCGTGTCCTAGTCATTCTACCAAGGTGATCTCTGTACTGCCAGAGCAAATATTTTCATCAGCAGGACTGTTAGTTACGTAAACAAGGTGGAAAAATTGAATTGTCCCAGAAAAAGTTGACAAGATAATATTTCTAAATAAGAACAAATTCGTTGCACCCTGTGTCGACCTCAGAGAATGGTTAAAGTCCTAATCATCACCCGTTTGTTGATCATAAATGTGTTTATTTACGATTCCCAAATACTGTTGTTTTAGTAATCAATTTTCTATAGTTATTTATTAATTAATTGATTAAATTATTGCCTGTTTACATAGTTAGTACATGTAGTAAATGAGCTATTAATTATGATATAAAATTCCTGGGACTATTATCTAGTCCTAGGTATTAATGTTGAGGGTTTTACGTCCATAAGACAACTTCCCCACAATCTGTAAATTGGGTTAAGTTTTGTGTTTCTATTTTATATATGTTTTTCCGAGCGAGTACTCGAGTATCGCTCGGTATATCCAACGAGTACTCGATTAGTAAAACCTTCACCGAGTTGACATCTCTAGTAATTTCACAATAATTTTGAAGCCTGGCTTTGATTGATGATAAAATTGATGTTAATAATGTAGAAAGAGGCTTCGTGGAGCAATTGGAAGACCCAGCAATATAGGGTTGTTTGTAAGGACACTTATGTAGTTTAGGTTTCCAATACAGTGATGGAAGATCCAATTCAATTCAAAGAATTCAACTGAGAAAACTAACGGCCTAATTTATAACAAGATATTTTACGAAAAACAAATATGACAGACATGAACCAACGACAACCATTGAAATACAGGCTCCTGACTTGGGACAGGCACATAAAGAATGTGGCGAGGTTAAACATGTTTGTGAGAGCTCAACCCTCCCCTAACCTGGGACAGTGGTGTTATACCACAACATGAGAACAAACTATAAATATCAGTTGAACAGGGGTTAACTCATCAGATCGATACAAACTAGAAAAAAACATATAACAAAAACACAGACCGGACTTTGCAGGGTATCTATACACCCCCAACAATGTTTTACACCAGGAGAAAATGTATATACACTTTTTGGCAGTATTCACATTTAAGTGCAAATCCATATTGAACACATACTATAAACAGGAAATCAAAATGTCCATAATATTTACTTTGTTTATCCCGACAAAATTTATTTGGAACAAAAAATCATTGTATATGAAAAATTTGTTCTGAGCGGCAAAAGTTAAACATTCAATTTTATCTTTTGATAATTTTCTCAAGAAAACTGAGACAATTGGTTTTTCTAAAACAAACAAAGGATTAATGAAATGTTACCTGTTTCCTAAAAAGCGAGTCAATTGACTTTCTAACCGTAGATGGTTCTATTACTTTAATTGTAGCTTTTGGTGTAAACAGTAAACAGTATATACAGCGAAATAGTAAAAATATTAATTATAAGCAATAGAGTAATTTTTGTTTACCCAATATTAACTGTCATTCTAACAAAAAACAATATGTCATTGTGGCCTACACAATGAAAGAAGGCATAACTATTTCCCGAAAAATATCTTATTTTTAATTTTTTGTATAATAATCATGGTAAACGGTACCAAAAATGTTTGTTCTATTCTGTGATGTTCGAGGACAGAACATTCAGAAATCCAAAACCTAGTACGAACGTTCAATACCTAAAATAATCAAAAAGTACCAATATCATAGTCCAATCTATAGTATTTAATTCACATTCTTTTCCAGCAAAGTGTGCAATTATTTTTTCTCATATTAAGCACGTGATATTCGTTACCACATGTCGTGCCTTTCGGGCTATTTTTAGAAAAAGGATTATAAAGTTATGCTTCATTTGCTTTGAAAGAACATCTTAGCTTTAACTTCTCAAATGTTTAATTTTTGTCAAATAAGCAAAGGGGCCTTGAAAACCAAGTTTCTTAAAAACTGCTCCATCATTGAATTTCACTTATATCCCCCTAGGCAATATATACAACATAATAATTCCTTAACATTCCGATGATTCTAAAGAGGACTTTAGAAATGTTTTTCTGATAGTCATGTTTCAATTTTCAATACTTCCTTCAACTTAAGTCTCCTTCAAACCTGAAGAATGCTATAGTAGAAAAAAAATATGCGCAATGGAATCAGTATCACAATCTGTTTATGTTATGTAAAATTACTAAACAGATATAGTTCTGTTTCGGAGTTTTTTTTATTTTTTTTGGCTTTCAACAACATGATAGTTTATTTTTTTTCTTCAAGCTTCACGTTGCATAGGTATAGAAATCGTTCGTAAAATTATCTGGTACAACCAAAATAAACATCGTCATAATTGACATCAAGTTAGATTCCTGTTTGGGTGGTGTCTTTTTCTTTAATGGAAATTCTGTAATCACTGATGAGAAAGGTTCTATAAAATTATTTGCAAATTTCTTTTAGATGTTGCTAGATTAATAATGTTTCTATACAATTAGTTATATCAAGTATTAGCTGTACACGCTAAATGTCAAAATAAAAAATATATAAATACAATATAATTATATAAATACCATATAATGAAGGAAAACGATTCAAGTACAGAATAAGAATTAGTGCAAAAACTATATTATTTAATGATCGAAAGGAGTATGACAAAACGAATATAATTTCAATATGAAATCATTGATACTAATACTTTTGTTTTTTTTTGGGGTAAATCGGGTATTAAACATACTTGTAACTCTTGCGAAGAAATGCTAGTACTTCTCATGTAGCTGTTTTTCGCCCAAGACATATTCACAGTCAGAAATGTTATTTCCATAAACAAAAAGCGATGTATCGTATATCCATGAGTTCTGTTTGATATTTTAATTGAACGACCAAAATTTGGCCATTGTTAGCAAGCAATAGTGTTTCTGCAGTGCTTTTATGTATGAATATGTATCTGCATTTTGTGTCTTGAGAATAATTATGTTCATGCATCCTCCTAGAGATAAAATGCATACATTGCAGAGAAAATGGACTGAATGATCATATATAATTTTAATGCGCATACAACATATATTGGCTATATCATTGCTCACTTTGCAGAACAGGTATTAATCGGTAACTTGTTCTCATCAACATAATGTATGCAATATTTACTACTAGGCGTTCAGCAAGCAACAATGCATGAATGAATGAATCGACTATCACAGGATTTCAAAGTCACATCGAAATCACATTGAACATAGGATCTTGTATTTTTTCTCGCACAAATTAATAGAGATTATGTTTATTGCCAGTCAAGATTGGAACAATGTTTAAGAAGACTGTTTTCGTCTACGGTATTCTGAATATTTCGAGAGAGAACACTCTATTCATAAATTGCGAATACATATGTTCGAATAAAAATGACTATCAGCACAACTCCATAATTTCATATACCCGCCCAGTTTCAACAGATAGTGAAAAGTTTATGTTATTTATTGGAAACCATACGAATCATTGCAACAGAATTAAAGTAGAAAGTAAACTTAGAAGCTCTCATTAATGAGTTTGTAGGATTTGCGGGTACATACTGAAACACAAAGAGAACGGACGATTAAACGAATAAATACAATGAATAGACAAAGAAACGGAACAATTACGATACATACCAGAAATAGTAATGAGACTAATATTATACTTGGTGGCAAAGTTCATACAGACAAATATTTAAGGACTAATTAAAGTTGTTTTTATCAACTCTCGTTCTGCTACCTTAGTACAACCATGCACTAATATGACAAAGAGTCGTTCACCACTTATTGTCAAGAAATCTTTTTAATAAAAAATTTCCAAAAACTGCCAAAACGTTTTATTAATGTTATGTTTTGTCTTCAAACAAGTTTGAACGAAGCTTTGTGAATCAAATATCAATCAAAAAGATATGTTGAGTGTGCATCAATGTCATGGTTACACAAAAAAAGCTTAGAAAAAACGACAGAACCTGCCATGAAATAAGTTCATTAAATGAATGCTTAAAGTAAGTAATACGTAGACAAGATAATAATGCCTTACTGTGTGAGTGACAGTGACTTATTTAATGGCAATTTCATTTTGAACCAAACAATTGCACAGTTAAGTATTTAATACTTGATTTTTTAAAGAATACATTTCTAGAATCTAACCAATTTAAAAAACTCGGTTACATCTAAAAATGAAGGGACATATAAAGAGTAGGTAATGTCGACATACAATGCAAATGTTTTCTAATTCAAAAGGTTTTGTTGCCACGTGATATTTGTAGTAATGCTTTCTGTACAAAGTAGATTAAAAAGCTAATTTTAGCACATGCATATTAAGAAAAAAATACTCACTTGTTCTATGCTTAGATGTTTTTCCTGTACATATACATTTACATATTAAGAATATTAAGCATAGAATATTAACAAGAACAGATATGCAACTTACGATATTTGTAACTTCACACTTTAGTATGTTTGCAATAAATTAGGCCTATGCATCATATTATGAGCATTTAAAACGAAACCATTTTTGCCCAATCAAATATTGAAACATTAAAGAATCTTAAGTTCAAAGACTCATAACTACTACAGAAGTCAACTGATAAAAATTTCTTGTGGATATGTATATTTACATGGTTTCAGCGGAGTTGCGATGACAAACTGTTGCAGTAGTATATTAAGGCCAAAATTCTAAGTTAAAAGGGGTATAACTCATAGAAAAAAAATTGAATCACATTTCCTGTTGATATGCACATCGTCATAGTATGTTCTTATTATATACACAGTTTCATGAAATTCTGTTGTGTGGATTCAGAGGAGTTGCGATGACAAACTGTTGCAGTAGTATATTAATGCCGAAATTTTAAGTTCAAATGGTCATTACTCCTAGAAAAAGATTTGAATCATAATTTTCTATTGATATGCACATCTACATAGTATGTCCTTGTTATCTACAAAGTTTCATTAAATTCTGTTGTGTGATTTCAAAAGAAGTGTTTAGAATAGGACTGACGGACAGACAGACGGACGGACGGGTCAAAAACAGTAAACTCTACGGAAATTTGTTCTGTGGGGTATAATAAAGTATCAAACACTGAGGAGCAATTAATTTTAGAAATAACGCAAAACCAGCTAAAAAGCCTATGTAAAAAAAAAAGTTGACTTATTTACAAATTGTTCATTTTTGCGTTAGAAAAATAAAAAAAATTTGAAAAATCCAAATAATATTGTGCATATAAAAACACATTAGCAATCGTTCTTATTATGCCCTCAAGCCCATACAGTCCAATTTCAAGAAGCTTTTAGGTATACTTTATTCTAGTTAACCATTGCTAAATAAATGGTTTAGAAAATATTGTCTCAGACTCTTTATTTCTGTGCATATTTGATTTAGGTATAATACGAAACTAATGGTTTATTCTTTAGGTAGAAGATGTCTCTGAATACATTTGAAACAAATAAAATAAGAACACCACTATTTATTTGTAATAAAAAAGTATAAATAATGGATAAAGCTGATTATTTGGGTGAACGTTTTTTCTTAAGAGTTAATCTATAGTGATAAAAGTATAAGGAGAAGCAATTTTCTCATACTGAATTTATTTGGTTTTTTTTATGAAAAAGTATAGCAAACCAACACTTACGAGGAGTGTCCGTGCTTCTATATCCTAAAACATTGAAATAAAAGTTTTTAACATCTGATTATCAAAGCGACGGTTCATCGCATTTTCACATGTCAACAACATTTCTAAGCTCTAGCAAAATATCACCTAATGCTTAAAACACATTTTATTAGCATCACAAATCGTCTGCCTGCGGTATAGGTGTCAGACCACCAATTCACCCACTTCAATTTAGAACATATGTTAATGTAGCCCTTCCCTGACAAAAAATACATCACTGTTTACTTTAACTTACCAACAAATTTGAAGAATGAAACTTTGGTGAAAAAGAAATATATTTAGACCGTTTTGAGCCAAAATTTACTCGTCCATGAGTTTGCATTAAAAATTGAGGATAATGCGCCCCATAGTAAACTTATTTATGATTTCCAGAAAACCATGAGTTATTTTTAGTAGTAGTAGACCTCGGAAGGGTCGTGTTTAACTACAAGACCTTCAACATTGGTTGAAAATTGGCATGTAAAGGTGATACATGTACAATTCAGGATGTACCTGGTTTCTATGAAGTTCAACTTAAATATTTAAAAGTTGTGAAAATTGAAATATTTGTTTGAAATGATAGGGATTATGAATTGGTGGTCTGACATATACATAGTTAACACTATACATAAACATTTTAAGATGGAATTGTTATTATCCACCAATTATTGCTATTGCAATGGACAATTTGAGGATTTATAGATTGTTGTTATTTCTTTTGTTTAACATGAGATTTCATTTGATACAAAGGGAAGTTGTCAATAGGGCAATTTAAAATCATTAAGATTTGAAAGATCGTTTGTAATTTGATATGGTTGAAAAGCGTTGAAGGAAAAATTCTCTCTATTTGAACGATAATAATGTATTTTTATACTTTTCCTCCAAAAATGTCAAATGCAAAGAATAATCTAACACTATTTTTACTTGAACATCTTAAGGCTAGCGTAATTTGTGAAATAAAGGAATAGATGTGATAAGTTGATGAAATAATTATCTACCTGGCATGTCTGTAGTATTGTTTCCTGAAACAATAAGATAGTTTATTAAACATATCAATTAACATTTCCATGCTGAAAATGCATACTATATTTTTCTAAAATTTTCTTTAAGTTATTTTCCTGTTTTCAGCATGCATGTGTGCAAATTCATTTTTTAATTCTTTACTGGCAGGAAATAATTTAACAGGCGACAATCCGAACAGAAAAGCAATTCAAGAAAAATTGGAATAGAAATCTGTACAGAAGTAACTGTCATGTACAACAACAAAAATTAAAATATATATTGAAAAACAACATAAAAAACGGAAAGCTTTAAAATATAAAACGACAACACTGACAAAAGTTATGCCACGGGTATTCGAATGTTATTTGTTATTTTATGAATCTGATTTTCGTACATTCAGAATGTTTAATTGTTGTCTTCTGCAATATGGTCGGTCACTCAGCGCGTATGGTGTTTAATGTATCTTTAATGATGCGTCCCCATCTACACGAGTAGTCACCATGTGGTTTACACGGAAAATTCTGTTCATGATCATGCTTTGATAACGTCATACAGGGTTTTCCGTAGTTTTCAACTTGTATGTTACTGTTTTTATTGAATCTTTTTTTAGATTCAAGATGCTACTTTATATAGTTCTATGATATTACATGTCAACATAAGTCTGCTAATGTTTCTTTAAAAAGTTCAAACCCTTAAATTTTGATGAATATCAATGTACCAAGTCAGGAATATGACAGTTGTTGTCCATTCGTTTGATGTGTTTGTGCTTTTGATTTTGCCATTTGATTAGGGACTTTCCGTTTTAAATTTTCCTCGGAGTTCAGTATTTTTGTGATTTAACTTATCACTATGCTATCTGTACTGAGCATGTAACGCACATGCCAAGAGCTTGCACGCGATGTCAGGCACAAATTCCAGACATTGAAAAAAATCAAAAGCGTTGTCAAAAAGTATGTGACTGAATGGAAGATTTATAGAAACACATTATCATAAAGTTCTAGACCAAATATTAAATAACTTCTTAATACAATAGCGAGATAAAATGAAACTAAAGTGGGTATGGTGAAAATTTAAATTGTTTTTAAACCTTCTGATGTTTCTAGGAGTCCACTGGTGACACCGTTCGTATAAATCCTTCGTTATTTAGTTATATCAGGGTATAACATATCATGCGATCTTGTCTTATCCTTAATCATAACCGAATTCATAAACACTCGATACATCTTAATACTCTAACCCTAACACTTGATCGAATTGAAAAACCAAATATCAAATCTTTCCATAATATAGTATCTGAGTAATATGTAATGAAGGTACGGACGAACGGACAAACGAACGGACTGTGTGACAAATGCAGTTTCTATAGGCTTTTTTTATATAGATTAGACCGTTGGTTTTCCTGTTTGAATTGTTTAACACTAGTCTTTTTGGTGCCCTTTATAGCTTGCTGTTCGGTTTGAACCAAGGCTCCGTGTTGAAGGCCGTACTTTGACCTATAATTGTTAACTTTTTACACATTGTGACTTGGATGGATAGTTGTCTCATTGGCACACATACCATATCTTCTTATTTATATTATGTAAATTCGTGTAAATAGAAGGCTTCATACCTCATTTTTCCTGCTTACTTTTATTATTTTATATCATTTAGAATCCAGTCTTAAAATAGAGTGAAAACACAATTGCATAATCTTTGAATCCCCTTTTGAAGTACGTGTTAAGTCTTTATGCATGTCATTTGTTAGTGCATCCGAGTTTTTAGAGTTTCCTCTGCCTAATAGCCCGTGCTTTCCTTCTTACAAGATCTAAGTGGTACATTGTTATTGTAATATTTCGATCTCGATTCATAAGTTATGAAGTTTAAATCAAGGTTGCAACTTTAAGGAGAAATATACCACACGAATTAGATTACTGTTCAATCCTGGATCTTATGCACGTACATATGTCATGTATTTCTTTACCAACTTTATGTACCCACCATAAACATGTGCAATGATCACCATAATTAGTAGCATACGTCAATGAGGAACATAAAAACTCTGCCTTTTAAATCATGTCAGCGTTAAAGAAAAAGACAATTAGTATACCAACCTTTAGATCGGCAAACTTTTCCTGCTAAAGTATATCCATCGGCACATGCGCACTTGTATGACTTTTCCGATACTGGCAAGCAAAGATGATGGCACTTTGCCGTACATATGGATGTACCTATCGAATGTATAAAAGTAATTCAGATTGTAAAAGACACATATGAAAGCATTGTCTATTGTTAGATGTGTTAAGAATAACATGTATAATTTCATCCTAAATTCTTAACAAACTTCTACATGTGTAGTTAGTCATCTAGTAATATGAGGTAGGTGTTACCTGTGAAAGAGGACGAAGTCCGTAAAAATTAGTTTTTGAATTCAAGTACATTTTAACTTCAGAATCTGTTGAAAAAGAAACGGAATTACGGAAACGTTTCCGATGTTGGTCCTGTTGTAATGGATTTGAGTTATAAAGTCATTTTCAATGTGAACAGAAAATAAACGCTATGCATCAGGTTACGTATATCAAAGAATTATTAAAATAAATTTGTTATGATTTATATCTTTAAAAAGACGAAGATACGACGTTGGCTTGTTATTCTTATCAGTTACTGAAATCTGACTGATTGATAAAGTGAGTTTCCTAAGAAAACATATTTTGTTTGCTATAAAATTGTATGTTGAATAAGCTCCAGACCCATTTTGAAATGCAAGGATTTTATTTTAACTGTTTAACTGGCATTATTCTTTCGGTAATCAAAAACAACAAATTTGCAGGAAACAATATGATGCTCCTACCTATACGTTAATCAAAGTCTCGTGACAAACGAGACCGAAAGAAAGAAAGATATTTTTGCGCAAATGCGGGAAAAACAAAATTTTTCTTCATTTTATTGCATTTCCTACTGCAATAAGGGACTTCGTCCCCATATAATACTTCCTTGTAATTGAAGCTACTATAATTGATTTGTCCCTAATGAGCAATATCATTTCAATAGGGTTTTTTTTAAATAAACTCAAAACATGGTTATAAATAATTTATATTTTCCTATTAAATATTGTAATTAAAATCTGCTATTGAGTAATAAATATAAATAGCTCGGAAAGAAAAATCCAAGAAAAATTTAATAAACTGTCTTAAAAAATAACTTCACCAAATTCACTGCTGACATCATCAAAGAAAAAAAATCCATATTACACAGGCCTGTTTTCATAATACCACACTAAATGGTACACTATAATGGCAAAACATCTTTTAAGTAATTTTTTTATTCAATGGCTAGAATTCACCGTTACACTTAACATGTCTTTACTACGGAGTAAGTCTCCATATTGAAATGCTTGAATCAAAGAAAGAATTAGTTACTACAATATAATAAAAAATAAAACAACACCTACCTAAAAAACGCAGTTTTGATGTGAAATTATTCAAATTTGAATCATAGTTGTAACGTAATAACCTTCAGTGGACAGTTTTCATGTGTATGACGTCATGTTTGGCATGATATTTATGCACAAAAAAAACATTCATGAAGTTTCGTGATATTTTATTTTATTTTAAATTGATACATTTCTTTCAGGCTAAAATGTATTAATTCTTTTTGTAATGCATAAGAATAGGAATAACTGTACTGAAGTTGAAGCTGCCGCTGTCAAATTGGATTTGACGGTCACTCCGCTACGCGTCGCTAGTAAAACTGCATTTGCGACTGTCAAATCGCCAACTGGCGACGGCAACTCGTCAACTACAGTACTGTAATTCTTAACTATAATGGCCACACATATAGCTGTGAATCTATTCACAGAGAATGTGTATGATCAAAGAAATTTTAAAAACAAAATATACGACAGTATGATCAACGCAGGTGCTTTTCTAGGTTTTGCATTATCTTGCTTTAGTTAGATTGTTGTGCTCTATCCTTTCACAATGTCTGAACTTAAAATAACTGCATTACATAAAGAAAAAATAACAAACTTTAAGAATCATAAAAAATAATTTCAATGATGTAGTGATATAACTAACATTTCACAATACAACAACAGTGTTGTTTTAAGAGTATCAACAATTATTGACAGCTGGTTCATAGTTCAGTGATATTCTTGACTGAAATATCCGTAAAACACGATTAAAAAGATTCAAAGCAAAATACCATTTAAGTATGTCATGTGCTATGTTAAACATAAACAATAAACATATTGTAAGTAAGAAAAGGTAATATCAATATACAATAATTAAATCATTTTAATATTCAAAGTTCAACAAAGTAGTACATTTGTAAATAAAAACAAAAACCTGAAAACAATGTTGAACTTTAAATTTTTATTAATAAGCTTAATGTTGTTCAATGAAACAACGTGTATCGTTGTACGTACTGTGATTGTACAAAATCTATAACATAACGTTTCCATAGAAACTAGATTTCTTTCAAGAATCTTCTGCTAATGGTATTTCTAGATAAACTTCTTGAAGTCTTTATAATTAGATTGACAGAATGATATTGTAAATAATTTCAGTAATTATTATCAATACAAAGAAGGCTTTGTTATAATAATATTGCCCAGTACAAATAATTGAAGTTATTGAAAACTGAATATCACTATAGGCACAGCATAATGAAAAGTAATGCACCATAAAGAAAAAAAAATAAAGATTTGTCTGGCTCAGTAAGGAATCAAAACTTCGTCTTTGTTAAGAAAAAAATCTAAGTTTAAGTTAAAACCAGCCAATACTATATACCATCTACATTCATCTCAGAATTAATGTTAAATTTGCTTGGAATATAATTCATAAAGAACTTGCAATATTCAATTTCTTTATTTGATAAAAATGTAAAATTTCCTCTTTGTAAAGACAAAATGACGTTAAAAAGAGTTAAAAAAATATCGAACAGAAATTTTAACGATACGAACCATTCCAGAAACCTGGATGAATTCAGATACAAAATACCCAAATAATTTTAAAAAGAAATTGATTTTTTTTTATACATATAAAGACCATACCATAGTTGTTAACTTTACCATCATTTGGTTCTTAGTGGAGAGTTGCCAACGAGAACATCTCATTTTCACATAACGTGTTATATGTACGGCAAACAAAATCAACTAGAAACACCGCAAAAATAGTTTGTGGTCATGTTGTGTATACAATGATTATAAACCAAGCGGACAATTGTTAATGTTATAAAAACTTCCGGAAGTAATAGCAAAAAAGAATTAGATAATTAATAAGACCGATTTTTCAAACCAATGTATACCAATTCTGTTAATGAAGTTTTCCGATATTGTTCCTATTCAAATTTTGGTTTTCTAGCGTCAATATTTTATATACAATCCCCTGAATACGATATAAAAGAATATACCCTTTAACCAGCGAAGTCAAATGGGCCTGATTTCATTATATCATTCATTTGCTATTTTTTCATACGCTTGACATCAAACTGTCATGCTAAATTAGTTTTTAATCTTTGACATCAACGATTTTATTCAAGAAAACTTAACTCATCATATGCAGAACTTTTTCATTACCAATGGCAGTTAACTACGAAACATGAAATGCTGAAAAACGCTCTGAAACTGTTTTTCGTGGTATACAAATTGTACAATATTACATAGATTTCATTGAATAAACTTCTCAGACACTATATGTGTATTTTTTTACCTGTATGTAGCATATCTTGCTGGTCGTCTTTGTGCCATTTCTAATTTATGAATAGGCTGGTTGTTTTATGGATTCTGCACGGATGCGCAATGCTCCAAATTTGGACAAACCAGCGAAAAGTAAAGTTTCGTCTCTAGGTTGTTGATTTTGAGGTTCCTTTTTAGAAATACACGGCTTATATCAAACTCGTCGGTACGTGATGGTTTCTGTCGCTTCTTATGGGTTTTCTTATAGGTGGTAATTGGTAATAAGGGGTTTCTCTGTTTTCACTACTCTTAAAAACATCACATGACATTGTCTAATTATCTTCCTATGCGGGTAGTTGAAGTTCTTCACAAGTATTGAGGTCTTTTATCTGTTGGTAAGCAATAGCATCATCAGTAGTCATTTTTTTAAAGAAACACATTCTGGCAGGTCATTAATGAAAATCAGGAATAGCAGTGGACCAATAACTTTCCCTTGTTGTACTCACTGACTACTGGTATTCTGGTTTGGGTAAATTGGTAGTATCTTCCTTTGTAAATACATATTTATTTTGTCTGTCAAGTATGTCAGCTTTAAACTTTTGGTCGGCATACATTTTGACATATTCTATCAAAGGGCTACTTCACAGTTGTCCTTACGCAGTGTCTTGGTGTAACACTAGAAAAAATTTTGTTTTCCTAGGTTTTAGTCCACATTTGAGGCTTCAATTTCAATATCGTTGCTTAAATACTCGTATTATGCCTTGAATCTGTTATGCAGCTGTTGTTGCCTCCTTATATCTCCTGATGTCTTTGGTAGTTCTTAAAGTTGTCTCTCTTGAAAGAGATTGTTTTTTTTCCTGATTGCTGCTTTATTTTTTTATTTAACAATTGTTTGTTATATTTAATACTGATCTTCTGACTTAGCTGTTGGTGCTAGTCTAATACATCGATGTGTATATTCACCTAGTTCTTTCTTAAAATTGTCACAATCAGACTTTCTATACTGCCAAACTTTGTGTTGTACTGTTTAATTTCTGATTGATCTAAGACTAGATTCTATCAACATGCTATGAGCTCTGAAAGCCATGGAATTCCTTGTAGTTGATAAACCAGTGTATCGCTATTAATGATGAAGAAAGCTAATATATTCAACTGGTTTCCTGTTATACGTATATATTCTGCAATGACTAGACCTAGCAATGTATTTTTTAAGTGATTTTTAATAATTAGCTAAATACCATTTTGTGTGTCGAATTAGACATGATTGTTTGATTGACCCAGTCTATACCTGGTATATTAAGGTCCTATCCTAGCCAAAGATGGGCTACGTTCTGGGTTAATACTATTGACAGATATGACTGCAGTATTTCTAGATGTTCGTTGTCAGTATTGTCTTGTAAGTCGATTCAACGAACCTATAACAGTCTTTATATCCCTTTACTTTTAGTTTTGCATATAACAGTTCACAGTTTCTGTCCACAGTCGATACATCTTGCTCCTCTCTTTCGTACTTGTTTAATATAAGCAGACAAACTTCTCTATCTTCGACTGATATTAAATCTTTCCTGTAGAATTTGAAGTTGGACGGAAAGACTTTCCCGTTGGCTTGAGCCATAATTCTAAACCAATAATTATGTCTACTTGTGTTGATTTAATATTATTAAAGAGCTGTAGATGTTTTCATGTTGTTGCTATTCACTGACAGTATATAACTACAATTCTTAATGGTATATCGTTCCTCTGTGTTGGTGACGATGCTGCTATGGGGTATCTGATTCTGTATTTGATTCATTTAGATGTGAGAATGAGTTCGATTTTTCGAAAACAGCGGCATTGAATAAGCAAGTGAAAATATTTAGTAAGCCACTTAGTAAGTACAGCATTCTAAATATATATTCTTTAATGCATTGAAAAGATTGTTATGCATTTCCATACCTTTCTGATGGTGTCATTTGTTGCAGATTACAAAAACCTAGTGTTTTTTAATGCCTTATTACATAGCACATGGGTTCTTTATTATGGTAGGGTCTTAATTTGGTTTGGGAGCATATGACTTTGCTTATAACAAATACTATGGGTAGAGAATAACTGATTTATTTCTACTAACGGCCAGTATTTCCATGATTAACTAGCCAATTGACACACTTGGTGGTAACTTTTCTAAACATCTGTTTATTGAGTCACCAGAGTTCCAAATGGTGAAGTTGAAATCATCACTTTGTAAATTTTACGGACACCATCACGAGTTGGTTGACCGTTATGGAATATCCGTTTCACAGATGATATCGGATATGTTGTGTTATGTCGTAACTACAATCCCGTTCCCTTTTCACGAATGTGACCTACCGAATTAGACTATTTACCCCTATTTGTGACATTTTTACCTATTGTTTTTGTTTGTTTTGTTCACACATCGTTGTCAATATAATGGAATTTGATGCGACTGTCATACAAGAGAGAGGTTTAGCTAGCTTTAAAACCAGGTTCAATCCACCATTTTCTAAATAAGAAAATGCCTGTACCAAGTCAGGAATATGACAGTTGTTATACATTCGTTTGATGTGTTTGAACTTTTGATTTTGCCATTTGATTGGAGACTTTCCTTTTTGAATTTTCCTCGGAGTTCAGTATTTTTGTGATTTTACCTTCTATTTCACTGCATTTGTGGATTTTTTTAAATGATTTTACCATTTTTTTTAAATAATAGATACTAAAATCCAGAAAATGACTGCATCAATGATATTTTATGTCAGCACAGAGTGCCGACTATTTGAATGGTGATACTCTCGGAGACTAAATTTCCACCGGCAGTGATATCGATCTCGTGGTTATTATACTCAACAAAGTTACCAGGATTATAATTTAGTACGCAAGACACCCATTTCGCATACATAAGAATCTCCGTGTAGTAGCTTTTGTATAAAAAAACCCAACAACAATTGTAAAGATAAAAAATGTTTGCAAAAGGAAAATATTGAAAGAAATAAGTGTGTGCATCAATTTACAATTTCCAGGTTCATTTCTGTTTTTAACACTACATTGTCTGAATGGATTTTGGCTTTCTAACATTTTACCATTTTGGTTACATGAGTAACTTGAATACAGAAACATATTTCGTCAGACCCACTAAATTGGGTATAAATACATACATATACATTTCTTTATTTACATCTGGTGGTTGCGTTTTTCATAAAGAGTGTCATCCGTTATGTTATCAATAAATCGATAATCTATAATTTTACATACACTTTTGATTTATATTCAATGTTAATGATTGGTTACTTACCCTGGTTTACCTCCTTCAGGAAATGATCTCCTAACAAGATTTTGAAACTGAATATATAATTCTTACCATTTTTCAAATTTCATTTTTTAATAAATTTCCAATTGATTGTCACTTTTTATAGGGTATACAAGTAATGAATTATCCATTTGCCAAATAAAGAAATTCTTGTAGATTATTTCCTAAAACGAATTGCTCGATTATATTTGTGTATTGATAAGATGTAATTAATGCTCATAAACATCTAGATTGAAAGTATCGAAAAAGCGATTATGAAAGGGTAAAAACCCCCAGATATAATGAGATCCTTAAGAGTGCACATTTAAGGGAAAATACGAAAAAAATATTTTTGTTTATATATATATAATTACCTGTGACTGTTTTTGAGGAACTATAGCCAGCTATGCCATTAAGTCTAGCGAATCTTTTAGGTCCGACTCTTTCTGGAACTCCTCCTGACTTTGGAATGCGTGATATATAACTACAATGGTGAAACGAATGCAGATTAAAATCTTTATCGAAATCATAAGTATATTTATTTCGTTATATGTATGTCCTTTTCTTAATGCAATTTTTTTTCTGTAGTTTAACAGCAAACAGTGTAATGCATACTTTTGTTACTAACAGCTCATTGAAGGAAACATTAAATTTGAGAGAAAAAAAACCTTTATCTGAAATTAACGTAAAAAGACAATTTCCACTGCCATTTTCGAACTTCGGTACAAACATCGATAAGATCCAGGTGCAGTAATTATGCGATGTAACATATTTGAATAGGTGTGGCATACGCTTTGACATGTTACGATGCAATTGGAAATGATAATAAATCCTTAAACTGTTTATAAATTATGTTCTAATAAATGAAAATTTACATGCCAAAGGATTATAGCAACGAAGACCTTAAATTGACCCTAAAAATCAACATTTGTTATACAATATGAAAAACCTATATTTATGATCTTAAATATGCAAATTCAGAGAAACAAAACACTTTTGTTGTCTGCTGTTCGTTTTAACAATGTCAACATCTTCAAAAGGTTAAAATTTAACAAGTGTTTAGCGTAATTTTCTTTATTTTATGCATTTGTAAGATCTATTTCCTTCGGAAAAATATTTACCACACCCTTCGACCAAAATTAAATTGATATAAAAAGATGTATGTGGGTCAGATACACATCATAACAAAAAATTATGATGATCCTTTCATGCGGCCAATTGCGTTTGAAGCCAAAACTATTAAAATGTGTGCAAAAATTAGTCAAAATTATTATTTTTCATTTATGTCACAATTATGACATCACAATATTTTTAATGCCACTGAACTAGTTGAATTTGTTATTTTCAGATATCTTATCATATTTTGTCATAAAATTATAATTTTTATTGCTAAATTTAAAGTTCACGAAATTTTAAGGCCAATATCTTCGTGAACCTTCTCCTTTGTGAGACAGTTCTCGAAACTATTTCTAAATCGTAACTTCTCCAAAACGATACATTTTTCTTTTAATAGACTAGTTGCTGGTACATAAAATTGCTTTTTAACGATGCAATATAATCATAAGGGCACCAACCTAATTTTCGATAAAAATCATTCATAACGAACTTAAAAAACAATGCCGAAATAAGCGGATTTTTGAAAAGCCATATTTGACGTAAAAATTGTATAAAGAGGTTCATTAATCAAACGTTTACACAGAAATCATACGGTTCTTTTATATCAATAAATCAGAAATTTATATAGCAGCAGCAAGTCAGTTTAGCAAAACATGGACTGTCCAATAAGAAATTACTATGTTTAGACAATTTTAAGAATGTTTTTAGCCATCTTAGCTGGTCTTACTGCATTTTTCTTTTTTGATTTAAAAAAAAACAATTTCATAAATTGATGTTTTCCATACATTAAAGCGAAACATGAATATTATTTTCCATTTTCAGTTTAAAGTTAAAAACATCGATACGTTGAAGTGAATATGGATCTGCAATACGCTGTAAAACTTTAACTGGAAATAGAAAATTAAATCATTTAAATGTGCTGTTTCTTAAATATCTTTGAATATTAAAAATGTGTTCGAATAGATGTATAGTCACATACTCATTTTTCAAAAACCATACATTTTCTTTAAAATAGATTTGTTGTTGGCATATAAAAAGGCTTTTTTAATGATTTGTTATAAGCAAAGGGTCACTAAATTTATTTTACAAAAATTCAAGGTGAACTTCGACAAACAACGTAGAATATTATACGCAGTAAAGCCGTAGTAAATGTATTTATTTTCTATATTTCTAAAAGAACATAGTACAAACAATGGTTGATACATCAAAATTGTACTCGGTGATAGATTGAAGCTGTTTTGTCAATTAACCAAATATTTATCAAGCAACAGCAGGTCAATTTATAAGAATAAATTATGGACTATTATTTTTCCCTTATAAGACAATTGTTTTAGCCGGTCTACGTTCATTTTATACAATATTAATAAACAGAGAGATAAATGAATTATTTTTTCCGTTTAAATGAAGTTTAAAAAAGGGAAAGATAAAAAGGCACGTTAAAAATAAAATAAATCGTTACAATATAGAAAACACAACGACCATAGTCCAAAATAAACTACACAGAAATCGGGATTGGGAGCATGAAACCGAGAGCGGTATGAGTTGTGCGCGTAGGTGGTTGTTTATATGTGTTGTCAACTTACTTTTTAATCCAGCAAGTGAAATACAAATAATCTCCCAATATAACAATGCCAAAATAATGAGCTTTTTCCTCTTGTAGAACAACTGTGATATCAGAGTTTTTTAAATCCATTACTTCAATCTTGTCCTGGAACGCGTCTACCCAGTATAGTTTATTTTCTGAAGAAAAGTAAATAAATGCAAACAAGATTCTAAAACACAATATTTGTTTTTGCTCTTTCAAATTGATACAGATTAAAATTGGAGGTAGCTTTTTCAACACATTATAAACTAAACTACACAGAACTGATAAAAAACGTGTTTGTGCAAAACTTTAAAAAGGCTGCTAATATAAAAATGAGGACAACTAAAGAGACAACTATCCACCAATTCAACAATGAGAAAAAAACCATTATCGTATAGTCGGCTATAAAAGGCCCTACATGGAAAATGTGAAAAAGTTCAAACGAGACAACTAACGGCCTAATTTATAACAAAACAATTTACTTAAAACACATATTGTACACAGGAACCAACGACAATATCTGTACAACGGCTCCTGGCTTGGGAGTAGCACATAAAATAATTTGGCGGGGGTGGGGGGGATTTTGTGAGCGCTAAACCCCCTTTACTTAGAACATAGATGTAACAGCAAAACCTAATGGCAAACTATAAAATTCAGTTGAAATTTGATTAACTCAAAAGATCGTTAAGAGGCAAATAAACTTAATTAAAAGATAAGGGACTCGTTGCACCGAAATAAGAGTACTGAAAGCTACTTCAAAGATAACAACAACTTATAAATAAATCATGTTATCCCAGGCTACAGTATCAACCAGTACACATCCCACGGATTTAGTGTAAAAACGTAATAAACAGTCGGAGAAACGTTTGACCTTGTGTAATGTCAAAAATATAAGTAAACAGTATCGACAGGATGTAGAATCATGAGTTATCATAACTCATAACTGTACATATATAGCAATATAAATTTAATTATGTTTTATTTTGAAAAAAAAATCAATGTTATTACCGATAAAAACAATATTCAAAGATTTTTCTACTTTATTAGATTGACAACCTTTAAGAATAAGTGTATTCAAAGGATCAATTCGTTTACATGGATCGTGTCTAAATGTACGGGCTTTATACACAATATCACCGTAAAAATTAGAATGTGATATCCCGTTTTTAATAGAATTCTTCAGGTACAGCCAAACTTTCCTATCAAATCTTTTCTGTCTATGAAAGAATTTGGTAAAGGTTTTATTTAAGTTGTGGTAACGAAATCCCTTACTTGATAACTTACCAGTTATACATAAGTTACGTTTATTGAAATCTCAAACGTGACTTTAGACACGGGAATAGCGAACACTTTGTAAAATATACACCAAGTCAGGAGTATGACGGTTGCTTTCCGTTCGTTCCGTTGCTTGATAAAGTCTTACGTTTGAATTGTCAGTTAACGTTTTTAAGGAATTCCCCTTTTTTATTTTACCTTGCAGTTCAGTATTTTTGTTAGGCTTTATTATGCTCATAAACGTTTACCTACATCTATCTTCAAGAAAAGGTTAAAAAAAGACAAAAGACAAATAGAACAAAATTATTAGAATACCATAAGAAATAAAGTTCAGATATGATTGTTACAGTTAAATGCGACTTGGAAGAATCTAATGTAAAACTAGAATGAAAGTTGATCTTTCCAATGCACTGGTAATGATATATTACATGTATTTCATAATTATCTGTTCTATATTTCTTTTCTTAAATGAATAACGCTTATAAGCCTGGTAAAGTTTATTTTTATCCCTGAATGTTTTTTTTTTTTCTTTTCAACAAAAGTTCGTTTTATTTCTCCAACAGTTGTGCATTTCCTTTTTCTCACTGTGACATTGAGCGTTCCTTGTGAAATTTCAATGCGAAGAATCCAATTGTTATGAGACAATACGGTAAATATGCGTTTTTTTTAACAATTATGACTACAAAAAGTGTTTTTTTCTTAATTTAATAATCTACACATTTGAGATACTCATTTATCACTGACAATCATAATAATACCTTGTGTATCAATGGTTATTCCATTTGGCCAACTTTTGGTAGTAAAATTTACTAGAACATATCTGTCTGAACCGTCCATTGCTGCTGTCTCAATTCTAGCATCATCTCCCCAGTCCGACCAATATAGACGTCTACATAATACAAGGAAGTTATTAAATAACCATCTCAAATCAAAGTGACTTCAATTCTTAGGTAAAGCGAATTCGACAAAAATCATAATTTTAACATATAGCAAAAACATTTCCAACTAACTATGAGATAGAAATATTATTTCTCTACATCTTTGATACTCTTTATTTAGTGGAAAATACATACTGTTAAAATATTGTGATAGGTTATATCCAATTTTTTTTAAAAAACAACAATCATTTGAAATGTTTTGCTTATGTCATTTATCTAATAAAACGGGTCATAATTATATCGTATTTACATAATTTAAAATGAAATTAAAATAAATACACTTGTATGATCTTTTAAGATATCAACAACAAAATTCAAGAAATGTGGTTTAAAAAGCTGATAAAATGTAAAATTGAATCGTAAATATAAGTTTATCTGAAGCAAATAATAATTCATATAAGTAAGGATAAAACAATCTCTTTAAGGTCAAGGAACAGTAAATGGGTTATGTCACAGATTTTGGAAATTTTTGCATACAACTTTGGTTCGCTGAATTATATCTGAAAATCGAAAAAATAATTCCTTAATCTCTTTTATTTTCAGAAATATTACTGATTGAATTCTTTTAAAAAAGGTGAACCCATGTATAGGAAGCACATAAAATCGACAAAAAAACGTTTATAAATTTGTCTTAAAATCATCAAATTTCCAATTTCTAAAAAAAAATATATGTTGTTGATACATAAACATCCGTTTTAATGATATAAAATAATTTATATGGTCACCGACTTCGTTTTTGGTGTATTAATCAATCTGTTACCTTGTTGGTAGTAAAAAAAACGTCAAAAATCGACGTTTTACGGCCTACAATGCTATGAATTTACGATTATTTCAACGTTTTGTGGTATTTTTTCACCTAGTACACACTTTGATTGATGTATACTGTTAAAACGAAGTCGGTAACCTTATTATTATTTTACATCATTAAAACTGAAATTTGTCTACCAACAATATATAGTTTTTAAGAAAAATCTATGTATTAAACATTGGGAATTTGATGATTTTAAGACAAATTTAAGAACGTTTTTGGCAGATTTTATGTGCTTGCTATACAAATGTTCACCTATTTTGAAAGAATTCAATCAGTAACATTTCGGAAAATAAAAGCGATAAAGCGATTTTTTTTCTATTTTCAGTTAAAGTTCAACGAGCCAAAGGGGTATGCAAAATTTTTAGAAAATCTGTGACATAGCACATTTACTGTAACTTGACCTTAAATGATTTCATGTATTTTGTCATAGTGCATACCCTTTCCATGGATGTACTACAATTGCTCTTGGTTGGTCTAGTTTTTCTGAGATTATAACTTTGTTGTATTTGCTCTGAGATAGACTTAGAACTGAGATTTGGTTTAAACCAGTGTCAGTTATAAAAAGTAATCTATTTATATAGTCGACTGCCAATCCATCCAATGTAGAAACTACGTCAATAGAAAATATAAACAATTGTAATCCGTAAATGACAATAAGAAGTTAAGTCATTCTGTGTTTTGTGGATTTGAAACAAAATACATAAGTAAAATTCAAATTCTCGATTTTCATTTTGTTGTATTAATAAAGTAAAGTAAGTGAAAGTTTCATTTTTTCAAGGTTTTAACCTGAATATAGGAGTTCCTATAGTTAGTAAACGACAAGATAATGTATGATATATTATCGTTGAATTGTATCAATTATGTTTACTCTACATCTCCTTTAATTCATATTGATCGATCAATTTGTTATCTGTTACAATTACAATTCAACTATTGCCATGTGAACCAATTAATGTTTTATCTCAGTTCACATTAAAATGAGTGCAAACAAAACTTATGTCTGCATGCGCCAATTTTCAACCGGGGCTCGAACTAACTAACATAGTTTTAAAATTAATTACTGATATACTCCTTCGAATGTGCTTCAAGATAATATTTTCAAGAGAAGCATCCTAGTATATTTTATTCATGTATATGCAAGTGAAATTATGGGGCTTATGTACAGAAACTTGTAATATTCCATTTGATACATTGCTACAAGCATCATTTCAATTCTATCAAAATAAAAGTAACTAATACAAAATGACAAAATATAATTGATCTGCCGATTTCGTTGTATTATAAGTCATTTTACTCGTTTTAGAACTATATTCTTCAGACTTAAAAATCAGACGCAACTTAACCAACGTATAAATCTCATGAATCCATGAAGAACATATAAATCAAAGTAAAATACAATCTACTAAGGTTATAGCATTGATGTCAAATAAATATATATACGCAGTAATATCTAGTCCATTTCTATCAAAGGATAGTTGTAAATAGTGTTACGTATACTTGTATGCTTTTCAGTTCCAGTACTGTTGCTTAATGTATTGAATAAGAAAATAATGTGCTACTGAAATTTGCTAGAATGTGTCTGGTAATTTATTGTTTATGAGACTAACACAATTTGAACAATAACTATTAAATTTTGTACCTTCGGGATTAGCTTGTAAAACTATTTCTGATGTTCCATAAATAGATGCAGACTTAACAACTTTTGCCTCATTATCAGTCCAATGAACCTTCTGAGTGACAGGATCATAACCAACTGCTATTGGTCGATATAACTCTGATGTAACTATCGGATTCACTTTTCCTGTTTTCATTCCGATTTGATACAAATGTTGTTGATAAGAATCTGCCACAACAAGAAAGTCATCTCTTTGAATTTCTAAAATAATAGGTTACAAAATTTCAAAACGATCAACAAAAGATAATCATTTAGTTTTTATCGAAACAACCTTTTAACCACATTTAATAAGGTATTAAGATATAAATAAAAGTCGATACGAGCGTTAACGTTTTGGATTTTCACTATTGGCCTAAAGCATCATTAATGAAACATTAGTTTTTCGAAATGCGCAACCGTTGCATCACTATCATTTTTAGGATCCGGCTTCTACTGGTTTTCTATTTGTCCTCGAGGGTAGCACTAGAACCGTTTTTTGAATGAACATACGGAAATAATCTTGTTTGGCTTTTCGTATGATAATTTTTGGCTATATTTGCTCGTCAACGATCGTAACAGGTTTTGGGTCTTCTACTTGTTTGACCTCGAAAAAGAGTGCAGAGACATTAATTGTTTGTCGAAATACGCATCTGATGCAGTAAATTTTGCACCGTTGAATGCTTTTACTACCAGTGGGTTGAAACCAGCATATGTTGGGACATTATCAGTCTAAGGGGGTTGTTCCAAAAAAGTAACACAAGACTTCAGTTTTGGCATTAAAATATGATAGTGTTTTATTGAATTTGCTGTTTTTAAACTTTGGAAGTCATTTGAAGCTAAGGAATATATCTCCCTTTCCATAGTCCTTATTCCTTTTTTGTGCGTAGCTGTACTTTAAATTTGCTAGTGACCTTTGGAAAACTTTCGGATTTTTAAACGTTTTGGCCTCGATCGTCACAGAAGAGACATTTATTGTCGTAATGTGCATCATGTGCAGTTAACTTATGAATATTAACGCATTTTAAAGTATTCGTATAGTCATACACGATGGATAAGCACCAATAGCATATGACTGTAAGCTTTAAATCCCATAGATGTAACAAAACCTTAAGCATTAATAACAAAAACTTTGAAGGGATAACGATGACCAAACCACTCAGAACAGGTATACAAATGTATAATTGGGTTAGTTCTATTTGTGCTCTATCATATTACCTCGATCATTGGAAGAACAAACAAGGTACACAAGAATTTAGATTAGACGTGAAGTCTTCATTAAATGACATTAATTTTCCACAGTCTCAAAACGCAACGATAAAATTTATATAGTAAAAGTATGCTTGCAGTTACTCATATCAAATCAGTTGATTATGTTATCGGGTCATCCAACTAATATATTTCTCTTTTCACAATGGCCTCATATGACATGGTTATAAATAGCTCAAGACACATTAAATGTTAAATTACAAGGGAAAAATATTTCAATTTAATTATCTTAAGATATAATAAGCCGATACATATTATCCTTTATATTAAAAAAAAATACAATATATAAATCGCTTACGCCTTATTGAAAGTACGGAAGCGTATAGGTATCTTTTTTGTTGTTGTTGCTATTGACCTGTTGCGTTATATCATACTTATCGTTAAATAATACTTATCGATATATTTTATGTCGACTTGTGTGGCGATACCGCAATAAATTATGAAAAATATTGCGAAATATTGTGTTATATCAAGACAATAATATTATATATATAAAAAATTATCGATGTCGATATATTTATGTTGATACAAATTATAATCGAATTTAATTATATCGATTAAAAATGACAATCAATTTATTAATTATATTTATCTCAATATTTCGAGAACAATACCACTAAATGTTTCTTATATTACGATATATTGATATACTAGAAAATGGTTTGTTGCCTTATTTCGACATATATCGATTTTTAATTCATAGAATGATTGACACCGACGCACTTTTTGAAGGCGGGAGTTTTACCCAGTTTCCGATTGCACCTAGTGCGGACAAAAGTATTGCCGTAGGAAATTGTTTTATTAACTCTGAGGTAAGAGTGGGGTAGGGTGTGACCCCAACTTTGGACGTATTGTTTAAAAAACTAAGCCGAACTACACCCTGGATTTTTTCTCAAGTAGACCCCAATTACCCACCTTCCCTTTGCACCTAGTGCGGACAAAAGTATTTCCGTAGGGAATTGTTTTATTAACTCTGAGGTAAGGGTGGAGTAGACTCAAGCTAGCATTATAAGACTCAAATGTTTTAAACTATATATTACGCTTTTTATTTTAACAATCGAACTCGTCTAGGGCATAAGTACTAAGAGCTGTTTTAGAGGCAATATCTGATTTTACCTCTGGTACCATGGTCAACGTGTAGAATCTCTTTGTTTGGCATGTCGGCAATAGTTAAATCGGACTATGTGACATATCAGGTCCCCCTGTTCATCATATGCTGACACATTTGTACGGGTCTAGGGCATAAGTGCTGTGTGTCATTTTAAAGGCAATATCTTCTACCTCCGGTACCTATGCCAACGTAGAGAATCTCTTAGTTTGGCCAACCGGCAATAGTTAAGATGGACTATGTGACATGCCAAGTACCTGAACCCTATGCTGACAAACTCATGCGGATAAGGGCATAAGTCCTATAGACCATCTAAGAGGCAATATCTCCTTCTACCTCAGGTAGTATTGGATTTTAGGGAATAAAGTATTGTATGATACCATGACCAACATGGAGAATCTGTTAGTTTAGCCAGCCGGCTAAAGTGAAGTCGCACTATGCTACATACCAAATACCTCCCCCCCCCCCCCCCCCTCCCCTCTTTTCCCATTTCTCACAAACTCGTACGGGTTTAGGCATTACCGCGATGGGCAATTTTAGTGGCAATGTCTCGCTCTTCCTCTGGTACATTGGCCAATCTGGAGAATCTCTTAGTTAGGCCAGTCGCCAATAGTTACTTGGACTATATGACATACCAGGTACCCATCACCCTATGCTGAAAAACTCGTACGGGCCTATGGCATAAGTACTATTGGCCATTTTAGTGGAAATTTCTACCTATACGTCTAGTACCACGGACAACGTGGAGAATGTCTTAGTTTAGCCAGCCGGCTCATTTTTCAAGACTTTGAAACTTAAATTTCAATGAAAGAGGATACGAGTTTTGTGTAATCAACTCCTACTACAGTTTGTAATCCAGATCCCATACACTTTACAAAAAGATTGAACATATGTTAAAGTTGTGCACCTCATATGATGGAATTCGTTGAGTGATTTTTTTCAACCTATTCTTGGAACTTAGTAATTTTTCAGCAATATTTATGAAAGGGGTACAACTTTGGTGTAATCAACTCCTCCTAAAGTTTTTCACCTGGAAACTTCACTGGAAGATTGTACATATGATTTCCAAACTTGGGAACTTATATAGAAATAAGAAGATGTGGTATGCGTGACAATGAGACAACTCTCCATCCAAGTCACAATGTGTAAAAAGTAAACAATTGTAGGTCAAAGTACGGCCTTCAATACGGAGCCTTGGCTCACACCAAACAGCAAGCTATAAAAGGCCCCAAAATGACTAGTGTAAAACAATTCAAACAGGAAAACCAACTGTCTAATCTATAAAAAGAAACGTGGAACGAGAAACACTTATGAACCACATCAACAAACGACAACCACTGAACAACAGGTTCCTGACCTAAGACTTAGTCAATTTTCAGCAATGTTTATGAACAGCATTGTCGTGTGGATTTTAAACGAATTAAATATAAGGGTGAAAGGGAATCTGGGTAGCTGAGGTCTACTTGAGAAAAAATCCAGGGTGTTGTTCGGCTTAGTTTTTTTCAAAAAATAGGTCCAAAATTGGGGTCTGACACCCTACCCCACCCTTACCTCAAAGTTAATAAAAAATTCCTACTATTAAAACTATTGTCCGCACTAGGTCAAAAGGAAGCTGGATAGCTGAGGTCTACTTGAAAAAAAATCCAGGATGTTGTTCGGCTTATTTTTTTTTTTTAATGGGTCCAAAGTTGGGGTCTGACACCCTACCCAACCCTTACTTCAGAGTTAATAAAAAATTCCTTACGGTAATATTTTTGTCCGCACTAGGTGCAAAGGGAAGCTAGGTAGCTGAGGTCTACTTGAGAAAAAAACCAGGGTGTAGCTCGGCTTAGTTTTTTTTTAATAGGTCCAAAGTTGGGGTCTGACACCCTACCCCACCCTTACCTCAGAGTTAATAAAAAAATTCCCTACGGCAATACTTTTGTTCGCACTAGTTTTAAACGGAAACTGTGTGAAACTTCCGCTTTCAAAGCGCGCCCGTGTCAATCATCCTATATATTAAAAATCGATATATGTCGAAACAAAGCAACAAACCATTTTCTAGTATATCGATAAATCGTAATATAAGAAACGTATAGCGGTATTGTTCTCGAAATATTGAGATAAAGATAATTGATAAATTGATTGTCATTTTTAATCGATATAATTAAATTCGATTATAATTTGTATCGACATAAATATATCGACATCGACTTCAAGTCAATATTTTTTATATCGAATTGTTTTGATATAACACAATATTTCGCAATATTTTTCATAATTTATTGCGGTATCGCCACATATATCGATAAGTATGATATTACGCAACAAGTCAATAGCAACAACAGCAAAAAAAGATACCTATACGCTTCCGTATATGAAAGACCAAAAACAAACGAATATTTCTTCTACTACATATAGTATTTTCGTTTGTTCATTTATTAAAGTTGGTTTAGAAAAAAATGGGTAAAATGAAATGTTCCTCTTCTGAAGTAAATAATTGTGTTAGTATAACGACAGGTGCCAGATCAACAGCAGAGTCTTTTAGTTCCTCTTCTCAAGTAAACAATTGCGTTGTTATAACGACCGGTGCCAGAAAAAGAGCAGAGTCTTTACTTTCTAAATAGTAATTTGTACACTGTTGTTTGTCTATTTGTCATTTTCTTCTTTTGTATTTTTCTTTCTTTTTTTCGTATTTCTGACTCTTTTTGTATATAATGTTTCATTTGCACTGACTATAAGCACAACATATGTACAGTATAACAATACCTGAATTACACGATCTCCCGTCATCAGATAACGTATAGCCAAGACCACACTCACAATAATGAACATTTGTCTTCTTCTGTAAGCAGATTTGTTCACAGTTTCCGTTGTTATTTCCACAAGACACTGCAGTTTCATTAAAAGATCAAAAACACAATGTTTAACGACTTTTATAAGATGACAGCGATTATAAGAGTTTTTGACAACAAATGTTTGTTTGAAGTTTAAACAACAAGTTGAAGCCAAAGAGATTCTTTGACAACGAATGCGACTAGAATATCAATGGCAACATAACTTATATACCGCAGAGCTCTAGCACAATCAACTACAGATTTTTCATTATGTTCAAGCTTTAATAGATGAGTGTTTAAGTTGTGTCATATAATGAGAACTAATTAAACAAGCATTATTAGAATCATGATCTTAATAATTAAAACAAAGTTCATTAACAAATAGGTGCTTTAGCTAGATTAATCTTTTTCTTTATAAAGCCTTGATACTAACGTGCGGCATTCGTGCTTGATTTTATGTTCACAACAGTGTCAATAATGCTTTAAATATAATACAAAAACTTGCCAGCCCAAAAATGTAATTCTAACTTTAATAGGTTAATTATCAGACGTGTCCAAACAAGTATTTTTAAGCTTGTATTATTAAATGATATTTCGATATAACGCTTTCCTTACTCCTTGATGCCGCGTCCTAAGCAGCAAATACCAATTTTAAAGTCTTTGGTTTGACCCGGCCGAGTTCGAACCCAGGACCTCTCACACTCGATGCAAACATGCTACCACGAGACCACCAATGCGTTATTTAAACGGGTTGGCACATAGTTCAGACGTTTGCTATCGTACTAATAAACACTTTAAATCATACTGAAAATATGGGAATGTGGGATGGTTGAATAAACAACTATAATCTAAAAAGCAAACGACAAAGATACAAAGACGCACAGATCACCATGTAATAAGCTATTAAGGGTCCTCCGGAAAACAGAATGTGAAACAACAAACAAAAGGCTTCATTTAAGCTAATAACATTATACGAGGACAATAAAATCATGTCAACTACTTGACTATAGGCTTGGGACATGCACACACAGATTGTGTTGAGTTTATAGCTGTTTAAAATCACTCAATAATTCTTCTTGGAAAGTGTACCAAATTTGAATAAACTGTACAAGTCAGTTGGAAAGGGGTTCACTTATCAAATCGGTACTAGGTAGAAACTATTAAAGAGGAAAAAGGCACAGCGTACCAATCTAAGAATACTAGCAGTTACTGATATCTATTTTAAAGCCAAATTTTTATTTACAAATTAACTATGTTTTCCCAGACAGGTATATAAACCAGTACACCTACAAATGATATAGTGTAATGATGTCATAAGCAGTCTTCTAAAAGCTGGCATTGGGCAATTTCAAAAAAATATGCATCGACAGAATGTAAACTATAAGTGTTGATAATTGAATAGCAATACTTGTTTAATTTTGTATTAAAGTATCGAAATTAAAATCAATGTAAGTATCGATTAAGACAAAATTCAAAAATTTAACTTCAATGTTAAATTAACAACCTTTCAGAATAATAAGTTTTCTCAAAAGGTCCCAAAGTTAATGGATTTTATCTTAAGTTACAAACTAATGTTAATGTTAAAAACAAGATGTAATATTCCGTTTGCACCCACACTTCAAAACCAAATATGTGTATCTATTTAAGAATGAAATAAAAGGTTCTAAGTTATTTGCGCTAACGAGATCCCTAGATAACAAACTCAAAATTTATACATAAATTGCATTTATTGACATCGAGTGCATCACTTCGGACACGGGTAACCACCATTATTTACAATAGGTAATCATAAATATCCTGACAACACGTTTCATTTGATATCCGATTGGACTGTATTTTGGTGTATAGTGCTTGAAAAAAAGCATTATGCAATCAGAGGACACTTTTGGCTTCTTCACTTGTTATTTATGAAAACTTCATTTGAAAAAGATGTGTTCTTTGCTTTTACCTTTAATGTGAGTTTATGTTTTGTTACAATTGTGATGCTGACATATTACCCAAAGAAAAAAATATACATGTACATCTGCATTAAAAGAATCCATGAAGTCCGAACGGCTCATATGGGACTCTAAGGAATATCAAGACCAAATTATATATGTAAAATTTCAAGAAAATGCCAATAAAGGAAACCTGGATAATAACTGCTGACAAGTCGTTTAAAGATTTTTTTTATCAAATTTGATATGTGTACATCGCGTCTTATGCATTTTTATTTGTACTGTTAACATTTCTCTTTGTGCACTGTCCACTTTTTGCCTAATATTAGATCATAATGGCAAATTGGGGAAATAGGCATTAGAAGGCAATTAGAAAAACAATTCATTTATTTTTTGTGCATCCGATGCGTTTTTCTGGATTGACCCTTATCTATAAAAGAACCAATTAACCATTCAGTAAGTCTTTTTTGCTGATCATGATTGTTAAAGTCCTCCCTCGGGAAAAGTTGACTTTAGATGGATTTGGTTATTCGTTTTAATCCCTTTTCTGGTAACATACTTCTTATGTATTCATATACTTATATACCTTTCGGAATTTTTGGCCATAAATGCTCTTCAACTTCATTTTTTTATTCGAATGACACTGATGAGTCTTTTGTAGACTAAAAGCACGTCTTTGGTTCAAAATTATAAACCTGGTATCTTTCGTGAGTTAATTTTATTAATCATCGGTTTTCAAGTTTCCATTATCATGAAATATAGACTGTCCAAGAATCAGTAGTATTGACTGAAACATTGATATTGTCCGAGCTGCAAGTGATGTTATTATGTCCTCCTCATTTATAACTATGTTTATTTCATTAAAAATAAACAAAAGTTTAAAAAAAAATGCTTATTCTCAAAATCCAGAAATACTTACAATATAAGTTTTTTGTCTGAGTGTTTCTGACGAATGTAAATCCAGACAAGCGCTTCGAACGCATCAAATTTAAAAGTGTTGTTTTCATTTTGTCTCGATCTACTATAACTATAAAGATTACAGCCGAAACACAAAAATGGCTATACCTCCAGTAAAGAGTCCATTGAATATTACTTTAAAATCTTGCATTGTCGGTCATTATTACCAATAATCCTGTCTATCTCTTATATTTTCAAGAGAGTATAAAAGGAATACATAAGGAAATGTCAGTACCAAGTCAGGAATATGATAGTTGTTTTCCATTCGTTTGATGTGTTTGAGCTTTTGATTTTGCCATTTGATAAAAGACTTACCGTTTTGAATTTTCCTTGGAGTTCGGTATTTTTGTTATTTTTACTTTTTGGTAAATACATTTAAATTCAAGGTTTAAAAACTGCCTTTAATATCAACTGACATGTTTATTCAAACAACATTTGTTGTAAATCCTTTCTAGTTGAACAGTTTTGCCGGTAAACGATCATCTGCAAGCTATCCTTATGAAAAACATAGCAGCTGTTTATGTCAACACGTTTGCGTGTGTGAAGATGATGGATGGATGTTTAACGTCCAGCGGCAAATTAAATGCACATTCAGGACGACGTTTGCGTGCTTGAATTGATAATGTTTTGCCGTAGAATAGACAGAGAATGATTTTAAAAACTTATATTGTAAGAGTTTCTGGATTTTGAGAACCAGCATTTGTTTTTTTTTTTTTTTAAAACTTGTTTTTTTTTTAATGAAATAATCATTATAGTTACAAATGAAGAGGACATTGTCGTGATAAATAACATCGCTTGCAGCTCGGACAATATCAATGTTTCAGTCAATACTACTGACTCTTGGACATGATAATGGTCGTACCATAAGTAAATATTTCTGTTGCAACATATATATCTGTGGATGTTCATTCTACCACAAACAACTTAAAACTTTAACTAAATTCTTTCATAAATTCAAAATTTTGGTTTGGAAGTATAATTATTATAAGTTATGATTTGCTTTGGACTAGCTTTCACTAACTGCAAGAAATCTTTGATCGGTACTTTGTATCTTTTGGCTTTATATTAGTTATTTTGATGCTTCGTGTCAACCTTATGAGTCAAGCAATTTCCACGTGATTTTTTCAGTCTGTTCATATGTCGTGCTGTTACACCACTGTCCCAGGTTAAGACTAGGTTGAGCCCTCACAAACATGTTTAACCCCGCCACATGTTTTATATACCTGTAATTGGCTGGTTGTCGTTGGTTGCTGTATGTTATATTTGTTTTTCGTTTATTGTTTTGTCATTAATCGGGCTGTTGGTTTTTTCTTTTGAAATGTTTCGCATTTTGCTATTTCGGGACCTTTTATAGGTGACTATTGTACTTCTACATTGTTGTGGGCCTTATGCAGACCTACTGTTGCTTCTATCCACTGCATTTGGACTCTGTTTGGTAGTCGTCTCATTCGCAATCATACCACAGCTCCTTATTTTAATATTCAAGTAATCAAAAGTTTTATTCAACATACATACCCATTACAATTTACAGGTCTAATATTGATTTTTGTTCAACAATGTTCACAAAGTTTATTTATTATTATCCGAGGATGAAAAACTCATTCACATGAATGAAATTTTCTTAATCATTAAATCCGTGTACATTTTGTCGTTTAACATGGTTCACACATTTCCCGGCATGCAATGAGTAGTATCACAAGATTCTGACACTGTACTTCTCCTGACTAAATGAATAATCGATAAAACTATGGCTTTTTAATTTTTAAGTGATAAAGCCATAAAGGGTTGACTGTAAAACAGAAATATCTACCTGGTCTTATCCCATCCGGCATTAATACCAATACTTAAGATTTACGTCCGTAACGTGAAATGGAATGTCTTTAAAAAAGGAACAATGTCCTGTCGAAATGGGGACATTAATCCAATGTCTCGAGTAAATGGAGTAACACACTCTCTGCACATTTGAAAGCACCCTTGCACCCTTATTTAGGAATTTATAGGTGACCTGTTACAAGGGGAATGTTTTGCCCCTAAAGTAAATAAGTCATAAAAGTAAAGCTAATCATAAGGACGATTAAAAGCACGTAAATTGTAAGTCAATATGAACGAAATTGACGGATTTAATTGTGTAGAATATGTAGCATATACATAGTTGGGACCTTCAAAGGTTAAAAGTAGACCTTAAGCTAAAATATGATATATTTTTAAACTATTCGATACCCCGTGGAACGTACGTCCTTGAATGATGCTAAATTTATAATCTCATGAAGAAATTCTCTGTAGTATTTGCGTCACAACACTACCAAATTGTTTGCTGCTTTGTTGGTCGATACGAACACAAAACTTTATACGAGTACTTGACACTTTTTTAAAGTCCTAGATCCTGGACGTATTTTGAAGCCATCTATTAACTTCCGAAAGTTACTGTTGTTATTTTTCAGAAAGTTAATTATACCTAACCAAACCATGGAATGAAACAGTCATTGTAGAAATTAAAGCAATCTCACCACACAATAAAAATAACAAAAACAAATAAATAATATTCAATTCTTCTGATTTAAGTGTTTGAGTTATGTACTGTATGTTTTTAATAATGTATAAAATTGATATTCCAGTCCTGTTGATATAACAATACAAAAGTAACGAACAATAGGTATTTGCATAGAAATTTGCTATGCTGTGATAGTAAAAGTGTAAATGTTTTGTTTGAGGACAGTAACCAATTACATATACTACAAGTTGTTTAGTTTAATAAACTTTTAAAGATTTAAACTTACCATTAAATTGAGGTTGATTAGCCTTATCATAAGATATTACGTCATTTGCTTGACCAAATGGAGGATGTAGAATGCCTCTCATTTTCTTTCCAGTCGATATATCGGCTACATGAATACCGTTATTCTTGTCTTGATCAGTCCATATAAGATAATCCTGAAATATTTGAAAATGAAATGAAACCTTCTGAAAACAAAAAAACAAAACATGTTTTGAACGTCAAGTAAAAGGGTTGAGCCTACATGTGTATAAACAAATCACGTAATTTCACTCCTTTGACGTCATGCATTAAAAGCTGTTGTCAACGACTTTGGTAACAAAGTTGCATCAAAACGAAACGAGAGTGTGTAGCAACGAATATGAATCCTTGCATTTTATTTTTTATTTGCATTCGAAATCAACGTAATGAAAAAAAAACCTGATTTAACAATGCAAAAATCATAAGAAAAGAAACAATAAACTTGTTACTTAATGATAGTTTTAAGTAAATCATGCCCTACAATTTTTTTTTGTGAAATCAGATACTTGTTAAATATTCGTCGATGTTTGAATTCCTGGATTAGTTTTTATATTAGTATTATCAAGTAGATTTTATTGATAAATATTGTAATCTGGTATGATGTGCACTACAGTTGATTACCTGATAAATGCTAAGGCCAAAAAATGTTGACGATTGCTGTCTGAATCGAACGCTGATTTCCCCTGTTTTCAGGTTAAAACTAGATACTTGATTTAGCCCTGAATCAGCCCAGAACAGCCTGCAAAAATAAAATTACAACTATTTTTACTAAAAAATCTCAAGTCACTATAGTAGGTTAACCATTTTATTTTCGACGCGATATCACTATTAAATCTAGACTATTGTTGGCGAGGCACTCTATTTTTAAAATCACATGTTTGTCAAGCATAATATGAAAAGATAGTTCAACGAATCGATTTAAAAATTCTGCGATCCAAGAATTTATTTTAGTCATTTTGTCTTTATCTTGTTTCAGTCAAATTGTACTTTAATGATGTAAATATAATTTCGATGAAAGGATTGTAGAAACACCAGCCCCCTGACTTCCTTGACGAGCAATGTACGGAAACACCGGGAACAATAAGACGTAATTAATTTAAACTTAACTATGAGACAACGATTTTACAATCTATTATGAGTGGGTTTAACATGCTGCTCCATAAATAAAAGGAACGAACTTTGTGGTACACGCCTGGCTATTATATGTCAAACATAGCACACCTACATAGCTTAAGAAGTAAACATTGACTTTGTGGTATATTATTAACTCGAGGCATTCATTGTGCATAGATAGTTCAGTATTTAACTATAGAAATCGGATGCATAAGTTACGATAGAACTTTTGTAGCAGACAGGTGTGGCGTTTGATAAAAACGTGATTTGAAAATCTCTGATATCGAAGTAACTGAATGTCAAAACTAAAAAACACCCGAAGAAGAAAAAAGTGAACTATTGTCCCTACAGAAAGTAATAATTTTATCTGTTTTTAAAATTGTATAGTAAACACAAACTGAGCTATCATGATGATATCTATTGGACGTTACATGTAAAAGAGAGGCGAAAGATACCAAAGTGACATTCAAACTCACAAGTCGAAATAAACTGACAACGCCATGACTAAAAACGAAACAGACAAACAGACAAACAACAGTACACATAACACAACATAGAAAACCAAAGACTGAGTAACACGAACCCCAGCAAAAGCTTGGAGTGATCTTAGGTGCTCCGGAAGGGTCAGATCCTGCTCTAAATTGGCACCCGTCGTGTTGCTTATGTTAGTACAAACCCGGTAATAAGTCTAATTCGGTAGGTCACATTCGGGAAAAGGGGACTGGATAGAAGCTACGACAATTGGAACATATCCTCTATCATTTGTGAAACGGATATTTCATAACGGTCAACCAACTCGTGATGGCGTACGTAAACTTGACGAAGGGATGATTTCAACTTCACCACTTGGAACTCTTGGTTTAATAGCTTCCTTGTCAGCAGCAATCCTCTATCAAGGAAATCATGATAGGAAATACAAGCCCTGGGATATCGTATCAACTGGGAGATATATGCTCCGTATGCAGGCGCTGCTGGAATGTTGCAACATAGAAAAGGAAAATTCACAATTGGGAAGCTGAAATCATCTCTTGTGTCGTAAAGTTTTGTTTTCAACCGACCCTTCATTGTCAATTTCTAATGTAAGTGTAAATGTAAGTCAAGATATGAGGCAGACTTAACTGTATCTGTTGCATCCGTTATTTCAAGTTAGATGTGATAGATGCGTTAAACATAGTCACCAAATTTTGAATTATTTAGTGAGAGAACATCACCTACTAGTATATAGCGGAAAGTAAAGTTAAATGATGTTGCTAACTTCTTTCCTTTAACGAAGTTTCTGTATGAATTCAGCCTCATATGAATAAAGGAACAAGTCAGCAAGAAAAGGAGCATAGTTACTTACCATGGGAATGCCGATCGTTTGTTGTAAAAAACGTCCTCCAAACGTAACAAATATGTTGTCGATCAAGAAATCAAGCATCTTGATAATGTCAGTTTCAGAGAATTTTTTGTTTGAATCACAGTGAGTTTTTACAAATACGATTTATCCCTCTCTAGGACAAGATACTTGTATCTAAGTTGGCCATTCTTTTTTATGAAACAAAGCAAGATCAACTCTTTCAATGTGTCTTTTAGTTTGGAATGGAATACTTGTGTAAAGTGTAGAAAAGTCAAATGTTTTAATACTATTGCAAGACGAGAGAGTTTTGGAGTGTATGTACTCTAAAAGATCTTTGGAATTTTTTAGTACATGTGCATGTAAAATTTATAGATATAATAATTTTGTGCAGTAATTCTAATAAGGTCCTTTTTAAAATTTTGAATTTAAGACTCTTAACGGTTTTCACGGCGAAATATTGAATTCAACGGTCTCCTCTCAAAAAGTTCTGGATCACCTTTTCTATATGTTAAGTTACATCATTATGTGTTTGCAATTAGACCAAATTATGAATGAAATGGACTCGATGATGTTGGATAAACGTAAACGAGGCTGTAATTTACTACAAAATAACCAAATTACATACTAAAGATATTGCACGATTTTACAGTAAATAGGTTTGTGAAATAAACTGTTCACTATTCATATTCTATCGCAAGTATATCACAGCCACCTCCTCAACCCTACAACTAGGCTCATTTATACTTAACCTTTTTTAATAAATATGAAACTACATAGAAATAGAAAAATGGAAGCTCAATGAATAGTTATAAATGACAACTTAAATTTACATAATTTAATGGCATAATCCAGTAATTTTGTAAAGCAGGGAGTCTTGAGGTTTTAAGGATTCGACTTAGGATAGTGATTTTTTTCTGATTCGGTTCACTTGATTTTGAAAAAAATTCCCCAAATTCTCAGTAAACTCAGAACAGGTAACCATGCTTTGTTTAGAGAAAAATGGAGATGGCAAAACATTGGCACAGTGAAAGGAAATGTACTTTATTGTAACTCCGGCAATATACTTGAGGAATTTATAATTCATTGTTTTGCTGTTCTCAGTTGAAATACGAACGTAAAGTATATATTGTAAATATTTACATAGAAGTTCAAGTATCATGTCAATTAAGTCACTCTTTGGTAATGAAAAACAATTAGTTTTAAAAAGCGTGTTTATTTATTTACTGTATCAATAAAAAGGTGAGTCCCTCCTTGTACATGTATTTTGTCATCCTTAATTTCTTAATATTTCGTTGATCAGTTTATTATACATGTATGATTTTGTACTTCATTTTAAATAAGCATTGGTGGATAGTTGTCTCATTGTCAATCATACCACATCTCCTTATTTTTATATTTACTGCATTTGTTTACCTTCAATTTTATTGTATTTTTATTAATATTGTATGTTTCTCGGTAAACTTATACTTAGTTTTTGGTGAAATAAAATATCTTTCTATATGTACTACCAGTATCCTACATCTGAATCCGCGAATGAAATATTTTTGTAAATACTTCGTTAAGATAGCATTGTGACTTGGCATTTTAACCACGCCATATAAAAAAATATTTAACTACGTAAAAAATACTTAGAGACATTAAAACAAAATGTGGACGTTTCTTTCAATAATTCAATTTCAATCATAATCAATTGTGTATGTACAATTATTTTTTTTTGTATTTGCACAAAACAACATGTGCTCAACAATGTTCTGCAAAGTTCTATTCTTCCGGTAGGTTCATCGTAGTATGAATTCAAAAGAGAAATTTGCATCCAATTAAAATCAAAACAGTACATTTATATTGTTCCTTATATAAAGTTATAAACTGCGACATTTCTCACAAGTATTTATTTATTTTTTAGTTTCATGCATGCAAAAGAAAAATCCTCGCCGATGTTACATAATCATTTCAATCCTTTTACACAAACATGCCTTCGATTCATTTTATTTTCGTAGTAACCGCATAGTACGTCAATTGTGTTCATTCACGTGCACAATACGATTATTGTTTTGTTTCTATCTTTCGGGGACAATTTGTTTCGTTTGTGATACGTTATTTCTGCATGACCAAACGCTTAACTACTGTATGTTCGTTTTATAGCACGAAAACAAAACAGAAATGTGCAACCCACCATAAATTATTATTATTGATAATAACTATGAGATCCTTATTACATGTTACTACGACATTGTCAGGACAATAACCTAGGATATGATTTATCCCGTCAGTGTGAAAGAAAATAAAAAGTGGTTCATGTATTGTAAAATTTACGAAAGGATGGTTTTTTCTTCACCACTTTGAACTCTTGGTTTAATAGCTTCCTTGTGAGCAGCAACACTCTATCGAGGTAATGAAGACTTTCTCGGGAATGGAAATATCCTGTTTGTGGATAATATACAGTCGTTACAAATCATTAAATTAACAATTGTATCCCATCAAATGTAGTTGCAGTTAAACTTTGAACTTTACCAGGTTGTCAATGTCACAGACAGAGTATTATCAAGTTTGTTACATTTTCTTGTTAATATTCTAATATGGCACTCTTCTTCTGCTTTGTAAACAATGCCATATTCTGATTCCGGTAAAACATGAGATGCAACGTCACTTGTATTTTGAACGACACTGGTGATCAAAATGGAAATTTTTGTTGGTGTTGCTCGCAAGGAAGTTAAATAAAAGCATTCAAAAAGTAAGTTTCACTTTAACGTTCTCAACTAGTCAAATAGTATTATTAAAGACAGAAAAATCTGTTACAATTTTTACAGCCTCGGGTTGAAAGGGAGAAGTTTCCTATAAGGGGGTGGGTAAGAAATCCTATTATCAGTTGTAAAACAGTTAAGACGACATTATTAACGATTGCATTCATTTCAGGTTTCCGCTCTTAATTTAGGCTGATCAACATGAAGTGACTTACAAGGAATGTGTATTATAACGCTACATTTTGTAGCATGTGCTTATTCTTTAACTTCATGTACACTTGTTTTAAAACACGATGTTTGTAAGAAATGCAAGCCTTTGACGTTGTTTCCCCCCTCTAATCTACAATTCAATTATCACGCTACTTTTGATCAGCTTCGTGTGGTTGTTCAAAATCTTAGATTGTTTAAGAATTTATAATTACATTTATAAATGTAAGTGCGAATGACTTGAATATCATGGATACCAATAGGTCTCAAACTTTAAACACTGCCTTCGAAATAGAAAAGTAAGTACTGATTAACAGCTCACTAATGATACCCCTCTTATAAGTATTTGTTAAACAATAAGATGATGATCGATGGTGTGAAAACGTATCACGTGGTATAGAATATTCACAGGATATAGTAAAATTCAAAAGAAATGACAAACAGGAAGTGACTGCCAAGTAGAATTGGCTTGAAACCAAATATCAACTCTTATATATATAAAAGACATCACAACTTTGACAAAAATTTCATGTTCAGAAAAAAAGCAGAAATATGGGCAAACAGGTTAAAACGACAAATAGAAAATAACTGATTAGGTTCAATCTACCAAGTATGACAAAAAAAATCAAAAGTCAAGAAAATCCCATGTTAGATAGGTATAGTAAAATTTTAAACTATTTCAAGTTATGCTTAAAAATCAAAGATATAAGTAACAAAAGTTTGGTAACTGGAGACAAAGGCAAAAAGAAAAAGGTCAATACAGTATAGCAATCATTCTAAGATCTACTGATATATAAAATCTGTTAATTTGGTTATTAACTATTGCATAATAAGTATTAACCTGTGTAAGGGAGGACAGAAATTAGACTATTTTGGGGATATCCATGATGTAATTATTTATTTCTTTTTCCTAAAAGTTGAAAGAGAATTGTCATGGAAGTTGTTGATCTATGAAAGCAAAAACACATTACACGGTATAAATATATAAATCTGCTAGCATGAACAAAATTGTATGAACAAGAAGTTCTTATTTGTGGTTCCTGAACACACACACGGGTGTCATTCGGTATATCGAGAAAAATGATCGTGAAAGAATACCTAACGGTGATCAAGCATTGCGATTGGATCGTGAAAGATCTGGTATCGGATTGTGAGTTCAATTAAGTGTAATTCTATTTCAAAATCTATGAAAAATCTGCTGTATTTTCAAAAGGTGGAACAGATTAAAAAAAAGAAATATGTCTGTCAAAATGATTCAACTACCTTAATAATACTGTGCAAAACGTTAAAGAAAAATTGCAGTACTTTTTAAGAAAACACTTTTAAAATACGTTTTCAAGTAGAGATAAACGTTTGAAAATGTTTCAACTAAATCTATTTAAGAAGAATAAATTTAAAGGTTACTTTTTTTAAATTTTAGAAAATGTTGATAGCTTTGATCCTGAAGCTTTGACACAAAACTTACTTGACATTAGCAAAATAAATCTTGCTGCTGGATTTCATAATTTTGCTTACACAATTGCCTTTTATGAGATAACGATAAGTATGTAATCCTAGTGCTAGAGGAATTAAGTTTTAATGCTTTTCGCTAAATCTTTAAGATTGTTTTGTAAGCGAAAAAAAATGTCTGATCTAGAAAATAAAACACCATCATTCTTATCACCGCTGATAACCGCAATTTTTTTCTTTACATCTTTAGTAGTTCGGTTTTTTTCTTAATAAAGGAAAACATATTACTTTTTAGACCACTAAATGATTACACTGTAACTCATAAACTTGTTGAAAAGTATACTTTTAATGGCCTACATTGAACATTTATAGCGTATCTTAAAAGGTAAAGTACAAATGTATGATTTGAAGCCCACACGCAAAACATATTCAATAAATCGTTAAAGATCTCGAGGTTACCCTCTCAACTGAAAGAATATTAATGTCTATAGCAACAGACAATCACGAGAAGTGTATACAAAAAGATAACTTCAGAACATCATTCACTATCATCGTCTAAGCTCTTTTTCAATTAATTCTAAGTCAAAGAAAATCAGAAAATACCTTCGCCAAAAGACAAGAGACTCGATGGAGCTTGTATTGGTTACATAGCATTTATACTTAAAACTGCTAAAATGAATAATAAAATTTGTGTAAAAATATTGAACTCCTTTTTGTGATATTTGATATTTTTTAAAATGGGGGAAAAGGCTGACTTGGACTTTTTCCTTATATCTAGCATTGGCTTTATTTGGGTCTCAAATCGTAAGAGAAAAAAATCTAGAATCTGCTTAAAGCTTGGTAATGACCTTTTTATGAGCTATTTATTGCTTCTTATGTAAAGAAAAGTGGGTGATATGGGGCAAAATATGTTACCATATATCGTTGGCATAAACCCAAGGAGTCCGAACATCTGACAAAAATTCATAAACCTGACCTGAGTACATCCTTAAACTTTTCTCTTTATTTTTTAAAAGTTCCTCTCGGCACAAGGGGAGGAGGCCAGCACATCTGATCCTATTATTGTCTTCTATACTGTTGGTCTATTGGCCCGCGATGGTCTTGTTAACGCTTTTTGTTATGGCGTCATTGGTGGAAGAAATCCGTTGAATAGCTTTCTGTCTGAATTAAGTGCAATGTTTATGGATGACAACTCTTGAGAAATATTTATTTTTTTTGTCTTTGAGCTGACAGTGGCGATTCGTTGACATGGTTCCGTCCCTAACTTATGTAATAATGTCAGGAAATGGCAGAGATTAAATGGGCGACCTTGAATGAGGTATGGGCGTCATTGACATGGGGAATGAAAATATGGAGTTTATAAAGCGGACTCTTGTATACTGGTATTAAACGGATATGGTAGAATAGAGTTTGGGAAAAACATTTTTGGAAAAATGAAGGTATAAAAAAAAGACTTACTCATCAAAACGAAAATCTATAAAAAGATGGTTTGGATGACTTATGTCTTCTATAGGAAGAACAGTTCTGTTATCACCATTCATGTATGAGGATTCGATAACCGATCTGCCAGGATCAGCCCAATATAAAGTCCTGAAATTAAAAAATATATATATCATAAAGTTTTAAGTACAAATATAGATTATAGCACACATTTCCTTGTCAACAGATAGGGTATGCTGAGTTTGCATTTAACGATTGGAAGCATTAATCTATGATTTCGGGACTACCAAAACAATTTTATGCATTTGATTTAAGCTTTCAGTTTTTATCTACGAATATGACATTTTTTTCTTTTTTAACCTAAGTTACTTTTATTTTCATGACATGAAAACAAGGTATTTTTTCTTCTGGTGACAAGTTAATGTTATATACCATATGACCAATTCATTTCAAACAAACCAATTTAAAAACGATTCCTATGCATGAGGGTTCAAATAGTTTACACTGTGCAGTTAAAGATTATGTAATTTTACCATTCATAGCAAAGACATCTGGAGATAATAGTCATAAATTCGTCAAGCAGTATATATGAATTAATCGTTATTAGTTTCATGCGATATACACGCCATGTAGTAATTATAACTTTACAGCAGTTCGATTTGTCTCTTAATGAGATGGCTTAAATTCTTTTGGCTTGAATGGATGAGTTATAATTTACCCGATGATTGGCTTTTAACTAACTCTGCTATTTCTGAAATTAATGGGCTTATTCAACACTTGGAATCTTCTGAGGCCACTCAAGACAACATTGACCGTGTGTACGAAGATTTCGTGAGCGTTATAAAAAACGAAATGTCGTCAAAACGATACGAATACATGATGGAGCTAGTAATAAAAAGAGAAAGTGTAGGAAACCATGGTGGAATGATGATTTAACAATTCTCTTGAATGAAGTGTGTGATTCTGAAAAAAAAAATGGATAAAATGTAAAAATCGAAATCAAAAGAAAGAGTTTCGCAATTATTATATAAATAAACGGAAAGTATTTGATAAAGCTGTGCAAAGATCAAAACGTCTGTACTGGTATTTGTTTCAAGAAGATTTGGATATTTCTTGTAAAAATCCAAAGGAATTTTGGAAAAAGATTGGTAGAATTATGACTTAAGTAATCAATCTATACTTGATGATATGTTTGACTGTGAAATTTCAGTTGAAGAAGTTTTGAACGCTCTACTGTCTTCTAAAAGCGGAAAAGCTCCTGGTTATGATGAGATTCCCGTTGAACTTTATAAGAATCAGATAACGTTAATGGCATTAACTAGAATGTTTAATGTTTGTTATAACTCCGGGAAGGTACCTTTTATGTGGTCAAAAGGTGTTATTACTCCAATTCCAAATAGTTCCACGTCAGACCCACGAGACCCTCTGTCGTATCGCGGTTTGACTTTAGCGCCAACTTCTTATAAACTCTATTGTGGTGTTCTAAATGTACGTTTAACACACAAACTTGATGACATCGACTTCCTGCATGATGAGCAAAATGACTTTAGAAAAGGTAGAAAAACATTGGACCATATAAGTACTTTAACAAACATTATTGAAACACGAAAACTTCGAATCTTTCAACTTATGTTGCATTTATTGACTTTAAAAAGGCCTATGATTGGATTAATAGAGATTTATTGTTTTGTAAACTACAGTCATTAGGAATAAGTTCGAAAATGCTGCAGGCAACACATTCATTGTATAGAAATGTTCAGTCTTGTGTTAAGATTAACGGTAATTTTACTGATTCGTTTAACGTAAATTGTGGCTTAAAACAAGGGTGTATATCATAGCCATTATTGTTCAATTTTTTATTAATGATCTAATTGATGATATTAAAAGGTTAAATATTGGTCTCAATATTGATAATGATAAATAGATATAAGAAGATGTGGTATGAGTGCCAATGAGACAACTCTCCATCCAAGTCAAAATGTATCAAAGTAAACCATTATAGGTCAAAGTATGGTCTTCAACACGGAGCCTTGGCTCACACCGAACAGCAAGCAATAAAAGGGCCCCAAAAATTACTAGTGTAAAACCATTCAAACGGGAAAACCAACGGTCTAATGTATATAAAAAACGAGAAACACTTATGAACCAACAAACGACAACTACTGAACACCAGATTCCTGACTTAGGACAGGTGCAAACAATTGCAGCGGGTTTTAACGTTTTAATGGTACCAAACCTTCACCCTTATCTGAAACAATAGTGTAACATCACAACATAGATAGACACACTATAAAATATCAATTGAAATGGCTTAACTCAATCAAAAGACATATTAACACCAGTGAACATACACTGAACAAATAAATTTGATCTATGATACAATGTAAATACAAATAAATAAACTAAGGGAAGAATAATTAAAGTAACATGTTATATCGCTGTGAAATGTTAAACAATTTAAGAAAAACAATATGCTTGAACAAAAATATCAGCCATTTGCAATTACTTTAAACACAGGTAAATTTTAATAATTTTGTTGTTAGGTATACGTGTACAGTTCAAATGGAGAAAGGAAAAATTTTTACAAAATAAATAATTTTGATGTTCATAGTACGAAGAAGTGAAAATTTATAGTAATACCAAACACTTATCAAAGCTGGTATATAGACCAGATATAACCCTGAATAAGTAAACATTAGATATCAAAAAAGCATTACAATTAGTATCAACAGGTCAAATAAACAAGAAAGTACGATTTAGGAGTACTCGCAGATACTGACAGTTGAACGTGGGTATGTCTTTATAAATCCCGTTTGAAAAGAATACAAATTTAGTTATGTTTAAATTTGCTGATGACAAAATCGATATTAGTGCCAATGGTAACTATATTCAAAGATCTAATTACAACATTGGTAAGATAACCTTTACTAATAAGTTTGTTTAAAGGTTCGATGAGTTTACACGGATCACATAGTGATTTCCCCGCTTTAAGTACAATATTACCGCCAAATTTACTAATCAAATCTTTGTATCTATGAAAGAATTTAGTAAAAGTTTTACGTAATTTATTGTAACGAAATCCCTGACTTAATAATTTACCAGTGATGCATTGATTACGTTCATTAAAATCTATGACATCACTAAACACACGGGCATAACGAACGAGTTGGGATATATAAACACCGTATGATGGAGCCAAAGGAACATCGCCGTCTAAAAAAGGAAAATTAACAATAGGGAATGAAAAGTCGTCTCTTTTGTCGTAAATTTTAGTATGGAGTTTTCCTTTAGAGATTGAAATGTCCAAATCTAGAAAAGGACAACTACTGCTGTTTATGTTAGATTTAGTAAAAGTAAGTTCTTTTGGGTTAATTTCGGTAGTATATTTAGCGAACTCTGGATTATTTAACGAAAAAATATCATCCAGATAATGGAAGGTATTGTTGAATGTATCATGTATCAACCAAATGTAACAATGACGTGTCTTTACTGAGTTTGGTCATAAAGTTTGTATATTATAGTATGCAGGTGGTGTTGTATTTTTAACTGAAAATGAAAATGATTTACAAAAACTGTTAGATACACTCAATACATGGTGCAATAAAAATGATATGACGGTTAATTTGGATATGTCAAACATTGTACATTTTAGAACACAGTCAGTGCCTAGAACTACTTTTCCATTTTTATTTAATGGTAACAAAATAGATACTGTATCTCATTATAATTATCTTGGTTTACTTTTTACTGAGTTATGATGATATGGCAAAAGCGGTGGCAAAATCCGCTAGTAGATCATTAGGGTTGTTGATATCCAAGTGTAAAGCAAATGGAGGTTTTCAGTACTCCACATTTACAAAACTTTTTGATTCATTAGTTTGGTCTTTAATTGAATATGGTACTGCCATATGGGGTACAAAGGATTTATCTTGTATTAATAGTGTGAAGAATAGAGCCATGCGCTTTTTTATGTGTGTCGGTAAATACATACTTAATCTGTCATTATATGGGGATATGAGCTGGATGCCTTTTAGTATTAAACAATGGTCTTGGGTATTTAGAAACTGGTCACGATTAACAAAAATGTGTGATGAGAAGCTGAATAAAAAAGTTTTTTATGGAGTAATTCCTATCGAAAGGGTAGAATAAAAAATTGGCAATTTAAAGTAAATGCCAAATTTATAAGTTTTGGTATGAATAATTTATGTAATACTAATTATATTTTAAGTAAGAATGATATAAAAGATATCGAAAATATATTATTAGAAAAGTTTAAGCAGGATTAGTTAAGGAAATTGATGTCTAATGATACAAGTAAATTACGAACTTACAGAGAATTTAAATGTATATATAGTGTTGAGAATTATTTGATTAAAAATATGCCTGGTAAATACAGGAGTGCTATGTCTGAATTTCGGTGTGGCGTCGCACCTATTCAAATAGAAACAGGAAGATACGAGAATATATGTTTAGAAAAAAGGTTGTGTTTAATTGTAAAGATATTGAAAATGAAAAACATGTTTTATTGCAATGTCCAATATATGCAGATTTACGTAATAGCCTTTTTAATCGTGCTAGTCACTTTGACGGTAGTTTTATGAATATGCTTGATGATGAAAAACTTATATTTATTTTTAATAATGGTGATATGCAATTTTACACTGCCAAAATCAAAATGCCACGATATACTATTAAAAAGAAAAAGTGTTTCATAAGTTTAATGATTGTATATACAGTGTATGTAATGTTCGAATCCTGAAATGTCATTTTTACTGTATCCGTGATGAATTTCTGATGTAGAATGATAAATAAACAGACGACAAATTGGTGATTTTTGAAAAAAAAAAGAAATAATATATATTGTGTACTGTTTTTATAAATTCATGATATAGGTATGAGATGCGCACGGGTTTTCATCGCGCCTACTGCCATCCAGGTGCAAATTTGATACACAAATCGATAAATAATAAGAATAGTTCACGAACAGAGCGTGCAAGAGATTTAAAAGTAGAAGTTAAGTTTCATTTGCAGAAAAATGTACCTTTTAAAATAATTATTAATGTTGTTTAACTTAAAACAGGTTTTGTTATTCAGCTTGTTGATATTGAATCAAATTCCACTATGCTGTTTTAATTATGCGATTCATGTTT